AGGCTGGGGGCGTGGGGCTGAATGCCAGCAGGCCCCGGGGCGGGGTGTCAGAGCCAGGGCCCACCCCGTCCCCAGCTGCTCTCAGCCTCCTCCCCGTGCCTGCTGCACCTGCCAGCTCTGGATGGCCTGACCTCCGCCCTGCTCCCAGGCAGCTAAGGCTCTGACAGGAAGGAGCTGGGGTCACAGGAGCCCCTTCCCTTGGTTGCAGGGGGTCCCCAGGCTCAGCCTGAGGGCATGTCTGGCCTTGGGTGATGGTTTGCCCACTGAAACCTCCTCGCGTGACAACTACCGTCACACATTTATCTGAACCATATCTGAGTTCTACCTCGTGCCCCACAGGATGTGGGCCCCGGGCACACAGAGATAGCTCAAACACCCTGCCCTGAAGGAGTCCGCAGCCCTGATTCTCATTATGCTCCTACCGTGCGCCACTTGATACGTATCACCGCACTAAACACCAACCCTCCGAGGCAGGGGTTGTTATTCCCATTTTACAGGCGACAAAACTGAGACTCAGAGGGGCTCAATAAGTTGCCGCTCTTATCCAGGTGGCAGAGCCAGGTTTGTCTGCCTCTCAAGCTTGGGCTGTTTCCACCTCCATAATTCAGAATGTGGTTGAGGGTCCAGTTGCTGGGCACCAAGAGTCTGTGCGGAAGGGGCCAGGGAAGGGAGGTCTGCAGAGGCTGGAGCAATGAGAGGGTTTCCCCAAGGAGGACGAGGTTGGGTGGGGAGGAGGGTGGGAGCAGAGAGAGGAATCCCAGCCAGCCGAGCTGGGCCCGGGGTGGCCACGCGGGTCCCCGAGGGCAAGGGTGGTTCTGGGGAGAGATGTGCGGGGCTGGGTCCCAGGGGGCCTTGGAGGAATGCCTCCTGTCGGTTTGCCCGGGGTCACCCGCCTCCACTCCTGCCCCACCTGCTGGCCTTGGGCACATCGTCAACCTCTGAGTCTCCTCCGCTCATCCACATGGAGCCTTCGTGCAAATCAGCAAAGAAGCCCCTCCCCCGGGGCTCTCGACGGGCATCTCCTGGACAACTGGCACGACAAACATGCGTGTCGATGGTGGCCACGGTGTCAGTGGCACTTTTTAGTGTTGGGGTCCACAGTTTGCTCCGCCCCATCTGTGGCAGCTCTCCTCTGAGGGTCAGTGCCTTCATTTGCTCTTGGGTGGGGATGCAGACCCATAAATAAGTGCCACTCCCGCCCCCAGCATTGTACAGACAGAGGTGAGCGCGGGCCGGAGCAGCCACCGTGCCTCCTCTGGGTTCTCGGCCCACGTCTCCTGGCCCCTCCGAGCAGGTGGGCAGTGTGCGGGCAGCCCCGACAAGGACCGCTGGTGCCTCTGGGAGCCGCTGTGTCAGGGGAGCCACTCCCCCACCCCCACTTCCTCCTACCAGTTCCATGCCCTCCCCTCCCCCTTCTTCCAGCCCCTGCCATTTAGTTTTTTCCTCTGATTGTTCCTAGAATGACCCTGTCTCCCTCTGCACTGTGTTGGGGCCTCTTCATCTCCATCTCCAGGCTCCCTGTGGCCAAGGGGCCTCTGGCTTCTGGCCCCCAGGACAGCCATCCCTAGGTGCCCTCAGCCCCAGCCCATGCGCAGTCCTGGGGTTCCTAGTTCCTTGTTTCTTAGGCCCCACTTCCACCTCCGCCATGCCCTGGGTGCCTCACCACCCGTCAGCGCCAGTCTTGTCACCCTGGCTGGTTCCCGGGGCTGGGCGGGGCAGTCCCTTGTTCCTACCCTGTCCTCCCTGCCCCACTCTCAGGATCTAGCCAAGTGAGGACAGTGACCCTTGGTGGACAAAGCCCCTACCCGCCGAGGGTATCTGGCGCCTGTAGTCTCCCTGGCCACAGTGCTGTCCCTGGGTCCTCCATCACACTTCATCACAGGACGTCCCCTAGCACCTGTGGCACTATCCCTGTCCCTGCAGCCAGCCCCCTGGTCCCACCACCTGTCGACCTGTAGGCTGCTGGCCTGGGACACGACCCATCAGTGACCAAGGCTCAGCCCTCACCTGGGACCTTCTTAGAACCTTGCCCACCCGTCAGAGGCACAGTGGCCTTGTCCTGCTGAGGCAGAGCGACCTCTGGACAGATGGCCACTCACCAGTCTCAGCTCAGGGTCCACAGAAAACTGAGGCTCTTCTGGGGGGTGGCGTGGTAAGCCCCCAGTGAAATCTCTCCTGGGCGGGCATATTCTTTCAGGGGCAGGAGAAGGGTGTCTCCTCACCTTCTGTTTCATTATCAAGTCTCTCTTAAGTCCCCACCCACCCTGGAAATACAAAGACCACCCAGACTGCCAAGGCCCTTACAGTACCATAGACAGACTGGCACATAGACACTGTAGACCGGCCGGGTGGGTGTGTGTTGGGTCGGACGGAGGAGATGGGAGACGCCCACAGGGACGGGGAAGGCCTTGGGGAGGAGGAGGGCCCACCTGTGCACTAGACAGAGGGCACGGCTCGTGCACGGGCACGAAAGAGCCTGTTCGAGGGGCCGTGGGTGATGGGGTGCGTGGCCGGTAAAGTGCCCGTGCCGGGGCAGAGGTGGCGGTTGGGGTGCAGAGGCGGGCTCCCGCACGCCGTCACCAAGGGCAGGTCAGTCTTCAGAGATCCAGCTGTTTGAGTTGGCCTGGGACCCTCCCGCTGCCCTCTGCAGGAAATGGGTGCAGATGAATTCGTATTGTGAGCAAGTAAGAATTGGAGGTAACAAGAGGGGTTCTTAGAAAGATTGGGGGAGAGGGGATGCTGGACCAGCCAGGACGGGGGTGCTGGCTCAGATGTGCCAGTGCGAGCCAGCCCCTCTGGAGCCAGGGCCCAGCGCAGAAGGCAGGACTGACCTCGGGCCCTTCTCTGCTCCTCCAGACACTCCCAGCCATTCATTCTCTGGCTGGTGGCTGCCAGGGTTCCTCTGCTCCAGGAGGGCCCATGGTTTGTCTGGTCCTAGCCAGGGCTTCTCCATTCCTGAGCAAGGCTGGGCCTGGCTGGGCCTCGCTCCCTGGGGCTCATGCCATTCGGTGTCTGGGTGGGGCAGACACCCGTGGCCTGCTCTCTGAGAAGACACCCCCCTCCACCTGCTGGACAGATGGTTTCTTCAGGGTGGTGTTGTCTTCACATCTCTGTGTATGTACAGAGAGGGGCTAAGCAAGGCACCGGGCTCTTCCTGTAGCGGCGAGTGGAGGAGGCTGCTTTGTCACCCAAGCACCCTGCCCAGGGCCAGGTCTGCAGAAGTGCTCCCAGTCCCAACTCATCAGGGTCTGTGGACCATTGCTCACGCTGGGGAGAGGCAGATCATGCTTACCGCTGCGCCGAGAGAACGCTGGCCACTGGCCGGTCCTGAGCGCTTGACTTATATTATCTCATTTAATTCTCACATCAACCCATGGGTCAGCAGCACTGTTATTGCCCTCACTTCACAGAGGGGGAAACTGAGGCAGAGAGAGTTTACATCCACTTGCCATGCCTGCGGTTAGACAGCTAGTGAATGGTGGGCAGGAGGTCTGGCCAGACACCATGCGTAACTGCCCCGTGAGGGTGCCTCTGGGCAGCGTAGGATGGAGGAATCCTGGGCAGTGAGTGAACTCTCCCCACTGTTCTTCCAGTCGTAAGTACTATGGGAGTGGAGGCAGGCTCCGCCCCTGCCCTTGCTGGAACCAAAGGGACACAGGGTTGTCATCTGCTACATGCAGTCACATGAGCAGATCACAATGTACAGAGTTTGAGTTTCAGACGGACCCTGATGCTGCGGGAGCACCAAGGAGGGAGCACGGGGGTAGAGGGCAGAGTTCAGGAAGGCTTCACGAAGGAGGTGACATTTGAGCTGACTGGAAAGGTAAATGGGTTAGGTGACCAAACCCAGGGCAGGGGGTGGGCCTTCCAGAGCGAGAGAACTTCTAGGGGATATGAAACTGGAGGGTTGGGGGTAGGGCACATCCCAGAGGGCACCCCTGCTTGGCTCAGCAGTAAAGAACCATCAGAACTGTAGCGCCAGGGCTGGCTGGGATTAGAACTGTAGCGCCAGGGCTGGCTGTCCTGTGCAGCGGAGGCGAGCTGCAGGGAGCTGGGGCCTCCTGGGCAGTGCCCAAGTGAGAGGTTGCCTGGGGCGTCAAGCCCTCCCGCTCATCGGGAGGGTGGTCTTGGTTCTATCCTGCACCAGCTTCCCCTCAAGGGCTCTTCGTTTGTTCTGATGACCTCAGCAGTTTCCCAGAGAGCAGGATGTCCAAGCTTGTTGTGCTTCTGAGATAAGGGGACGGATGAAAGCAGGGATAAACCCAAGGGCCCGGCGGAAGTGTCTGCGACCTCTGAGCTGGCCCTTCGGGAAGCAGCCATGGTGGGTCAGCAGCCCCCCACCCTCCCCACTTCCACCCCTGCAGGGGTGGCCTGGCCCAGCTTGGGGGGCCAGTGCCTGGTGTGGGGGGGGGGGGCAGAACACTGCATTTCCTTAGGTCCGCAGTGTGTGTGTGTTGGGGGTAGGGGTTGTCTCCAATCCTTCGCTAAGTTGCTGTGTGACTTAGGCAAGTTGCTTTGCCTCTCTGGGCCTGTGTTTACACCAGTAGCACCAGCTAGGCAGGGAGGAACAATACCTGTGTTGCAGGCCTGTGTGAAGAGAGAAGGAGATGCAGGATGGGAGCTCTGTTTGCAGACTGCAGGTCACCAGGCCAGTGGGAAGGCTCTGGGCAGATGTAGCCTTTGTTCCTGGGGCCATTGCCAGAGGGGAGAGGCTGTTGTGCACTGGAGAGGCCTCAGGCTGCAGCAAAAAAAAAAAACCATACCAGCTCTGGGGTGGCCCTCCCCTCCTCCCACTCCCACCGTTTCGTGCCTTTAGGCTCTGATGTTGGAGGGTCACCTCCCCTCTCTGAGCCTCAGGTCCCTTACCAGTGTGAAGAGGGCACCAATCCCTGTCTGACAGATTTGGCTACAGACGGGGAGAAGGGGAGCTCATTCAGGTGGGTGGTCTGCTGGGCCAACCCCTGACCCCACTTGACCCCTTTCCTGCTCTGCCCCTGCAGTGGGAACGCCTGTGGTTCCTGCTCCTCACCGTCACCTTCGGCCTCACGCTCACCTGGCTCTACTTCTGGTGGGAAGTCCACAATGACTACGACGAATTCAACTGGTAAGTGGGGGCAGGGGACGAGGCCTGGGTCCCTGGCATCCAGGGCTGAGACTGGGGCGGGGAGGAGAGTTGAAGTTTGAGCCTCTCTCCCAGGCTGGCCCTCAGAGATCTGCAACCAGCTCCTTGTGGCTTTGGGGACAGAGTCCTCTGGAAGGACAAAGCCCAGCAGGAGCTGAGACCAGCTGGGGACAACAGGGTACTGCTTCCTGGGGCTGCTGTCTTGGGAAATAGGTGGAAGGCTGGGGCAGGGCTCAGCAGGGAGCTAGGGCCTCCCCCTACTTTGTAGACAAGAACTCCAGGGCCCAGAGGTGCCAAGGCCTCAGCAGAGGAAGTGGCCCCAGACGCCAGACCTCCTAACTCCCTGGGCAGGGCAGGCAGAAACTATGGTTCTGGGGCAGCTCATGTTCAACGTGAACACCAGCCTCAGGTCCAAGGGCAGGGCTGTCTGAGTGCTCTGCCTGGGTATAGGAGGGCACCTATTTCTTCCTCATCCCACCTCCATGGCCTGTCTCTGTCAAATAGTGAAGGGAGGAGTGGGGGGACCCTGCGTTCTGGTGGGAACTCCTCCGTTGGAAAGTGTAGATAGTGAGGCCCAAGTTCACATAATCATTTGGGGACAGAGTTGGGGCTTGAAAGCCAGACCTCCTCACTCCCTGTTCAGTGATGTCTCTTCCTTTTGGTCGGAGTTCAGCTCCGTGTGACCCTGGACAGTCTCCGGTCCTCCCTGAGCCTCAGCGTCCTGCTCTGTAAAACGGGAGGACACCTCACTGGGTCTTTCGAGGGTGGAGTGAGATGATGGACCCGAGAGGGCGCCAAGTTCTGCCTGAACCTGCGGGCCATTTCCGGGGCACCCATTCCCCAGCTGGAAGGTGCCCATGATGTCAGAAGTGGGGGTTTCTGGGGGCCTGGGCTGCAGATGGGCTGTGTTCTAGGGTGCCATGAGGATGATGCTAAGGCTCTGTTCATGCAGCTGGACACCCACTGCCCTCCACGTGGCCCTTGGTGGCACCTCTATTATTAACGAGCACAGCAAGGGACCTGCCGCTGTCCTGCCGGTGTGGCCTGGCAAGATGAGCCTTGGCCCCAGCTGAGTCCCAGAGGTGGCCTCTGGCCTCTATGAAGAGCCATAGATCAAGCATTCACCCGTGTAGGTACTCCCAGCACAGACACTGTTGTGGGTACAGGAACATACAGTTGCTGGCCCCCACCTGCAGGCCCTGGACAGTTCTGCTGAGCTGGCCGTTGGCTGCTGGGGGCTCATCAGGTCCACCTGATGCTCCATCGGGTGCTCAGATGGGGAAGCGAAGGCCCAGAGAGGGGTCGACTCTCAACCAGTTAGAACTGGCAGGATGTACTGAGGACGTCTGAGAAGACGGAGGCTCAGAGAGGTTAGGTAGCCTCTCCGGAGTCACACAGTGAAAGGCCGACGGCTCTAAGACTGGGGCTGAAGCCTGACTGACTGTATCATGCTGTCCGCAGAGCCACCCCGCTCGTCCCACCCCTCCCCGGACCTCGGGCCCCCCCTGGAATTGGAGGGCCAGGGCCAGGGAAGGCAGGCGACAGGCGCCTTTGAAGTTCATTCCCTTCAGCCTTGTAATTCTGTTTGTAGGAATCTGTCCTGAGTAAATAATTACTAACACTGAAAGATACATACAGAAAGTTCTTTTTTGTGATAATCTCTAAGAGCAAATAATTGGAAATGATTCATTGCCATCAGAGTTTGGCTATATATGGTGTGCTAACTCAGTTCCACGTGGCGAAGGAAACTACACATCCCTGGATGTTTACTCACCTCAGTAAATGCCCGTGTTAATTAGGAGATAATTGATTACTTGCCATATGTCCCCCTCCCCCAATTCATCCTCAGGAAACCCTATGAAGGGCATTTTACCCATTCTCAGACCCCTTATTTTCACATTTTAACACTGAAATCAAGATGAGTGTCACAATGGATGGCGTTTTAGAATCGGTGAAGCCTGTCACCTGCCCAGGGACCTCCATGCCAGTAAGAGGCAGGCCGGGCGCTGAACCCGACATGCCTCCCTCCAGAGCCTGATCTCGGCCGCAGTGCCGAGTGTGTGCCGCGGCCCCGGCTTGGCTGACTGTACAATAGCTGAGCAAGGGGGCCCACCCACTGGAAGACAAGTCAGCCCAGTTTGGGAACTGGTTATATCTGGGCAGAACTGTGGGGATTGCTGTTTTCTTCTCTACCCTCTTGGCATGCCAGGTGTCCACCTGAGCCCCAGACAGGCCTGACCAATGCTTAAGGAAACAATAACACCCCTCAGAGTGGGCGGGGCCTGGCCTCCAGCCTGGTCTCAGGTAGAGGTCTGACCCCTGCACCTTCTCCTCCTCAGGTACCTCTACAACCGCATGGGCTACTGGAGCGACTGGTCTGTGCCCATCCTCATGACCACAGCCACTGCCTTCACTTACATCGCAGGCCTCCTGGTACGTGGCGCCAGGCCTGCTCTCGGGGAAGGGACACCTGGCCCCTGTGGGGCTGATGGCAGGGTCCCGCCCTGGCCTAAGAGGGGAAGCAGGCTTTTCCCATCTCTTGGGCTGTTGCGCCTCAGGGGCTTGGCTCCTTCAAGGTGGGAGGTCCCCTTGTTCTTGCCCCATCCTGGAGTACCCCCCTGCACCCCGGGGGGAGCCATCCTGCTCCGAGGCCCCAGTGCAGACTTTCTCTTCCATGGGAAAGAGGAACTCCTGCTTTGGTTCCTGGCACTCTGTTCCCTCAGATGCAGGTCAGTCCCTAGGTTGGACTGGGGGCTCCTCCGGGACAAGGTTCAAATGTATCTCAGCCTCCTGGGGCCTGGAACTCCTACAATGTTAACTGAGTAGTTCAAGTGCAACAAGTTCCTAGTGACCTCGTGAGGGAGAAATCCTAGAGGAGGAGCTGGAGGCCTGAAATACTTTGGGAGGCAGCCAGGCCTGGGCTGAGCTGGGCTGGGCAGACCGATCACCGACCGGGAGGGTTCGCTGGCCGATCCGAGCCAGGCGTGGGGCGGCCGTGGGAAGAAGGGGGTCTGGGGACTTGGTGGGAAACTTCAAGTCACACGTGAGGCCTGACTGTCGCCCTGTGGGCCCCTCTTCAGGTCCTGGCCCTGTGTCACATTGCCGTGGGGCAGCAGATGAACCTGCACTGGCTGCACAAGGTAAGAGCCGCCCTCACGAGGTCTGAGGGGGCGAGGCTGGAGGCCTCAGCAGCAGAGGGACACGTCACCCCGCCTCTGGACCGTGACTGTAACTTCCCCAGGAGCCAACACTGAGCACTCACAGCCCACCCCGCATTACTCACTGAACCCTCACAGCGGCCCCATTATGCCGGCACTGTCGCCTCATTTTGCAGCTAGGGAAACTGAGGTCCAAAGAGGTTAAGTCATTTATACTGAGTAAGTGGAGGATCCAGGATCCCAACCCTGCAGCCATGCAATTAAGCAGCACAGGTCGCGGCTCTGGCCCTCCAGCTGGGCTCTGCCTGGAGTCTCCCCCTCTTCATTCCTCAGTGAGCTCATTCTGAAACACTGACCCAGTCACGTGATTCCCACTCAAAGCCCTTCCCACACCCCACACCCAGCATTAAGACCCCCGTGGCTCGGCTCCTCTGACGCCTCCCAGCTGCTGTCACGGGACCGTCGCCTCCAGCTTTCACCCCATGAGCATCTCGGGCCCTGCCAGCATGCCTGTCCCTTCTCTACCTCCTCTCTCTTGCCTCCCTTTCTCTCTCCTGTGGACCCTTCCTTAGTTCTCTTCTACCTGCACAGGCTGCTTGGACTGCCCCAGCCCTTGCAGGCCCCCGGCACAGTCCTGAGCACCTGTGTCGTCCATTGCCATCTGGCTCCTCAACCCTGACGCCCCCGGCCTGGAAGCTTCTTGCAGGCCAGAATGGGCTTTTCCTGTCTCTGTGTGCCCAGTGCCCCGCTCAGGGCTGGGCCCAGAGCAGGGAGGCTTCATGGCTTCAGAACCTCAGGACCTCATTGTGTGCCTGGTGCCGAATGTACAGTGTATGCCTGATGCCTCCTCTTCCTGAGGCCCCAGTGGACACAGCGGTGGCACAAAGCCGACCAAAAGAGAGCCCTTCCCTCTTGGACCTTGAAGGGAGGGCTAGGCCATCTCTTTTTCTTCCAGGGCCTGACTCAGAGTGGGCATGCCATTTAGGAAGGGGCAGAAATAGCCAGGAGCCCATGAAATGCACCCAGAGAGACTCTGAGGGGAGGGGTGTACTTTTAGCTGCAAGGGGGACATGGAGCAGGAACGGGAAGAAAGACCTGAGCTCCTGTTGGGCTGTGTACTGGGAGGGCCCGTGGGCATCCAGGGCGGCCTTTGAGGTCAGGAGCTGGGGAGTCAGCCTGGGTGACTGAAGTCTTGGGGGTGGCAAAGAGCAGCCAGCAGCCCTGGTGTCCCACCCTCCTCCTGCTTGTCACTCTATCCGGAGGTCTCCTGTGGGCTTGTGAAGTTCCCTCTGTGAAGCACTTTTTCCTCCCAGCTGCAAAGCTGACACTTGAAAGAACTGCACCAGATGGCACCTGGGCAGGGTTGGCACACACTGAGGTCACCTCCTCTAGGTCATGCCTGGATCTCAGCAGGTCACACCTGCGTGGTTCTGGTGGAGAGGCTTCCCGAGGCACTGGGCCAGCAGGGGTGGCAGGTCACTGCAGGGAGTCTTCTCCTGGGAGGGGGATCAGATCCCTTCATCTATACCAGGGCCAGCTCCTCAGCCAGCCCTGCCTTCCTCTCTCCTCTGCTCCCCAAGCCCCCAGCCAAGAGCTCAGGCTGAGCAGGAGGAAGGTCCTCCCAGGCAGGGCTGATGCGTAGCTGGGCCCGCTGCGCCAGGAGGGGGCTGGCCCCTGGGCTCAGAGTATTCAAGTTGGGGCCGAACTTGATTAGGATAGTCTAAGTAATCCTTATCCTTTTCTTATTTTAGCCAATTTTCAAAATTAGAAAGGTACAAAAAAGTACACGATGTAAATCTTCCTACTGTCTTTCCAGAGCATTTTAAGTATGTACAAATCTACACGTACACTTCCTTCTTTCCTTTTATTTACACACAAGCCTGCTATACCCTCCATCTCGCACACTAACGACACTCTGGGCACGCCTTCCCCTCGGTGCATTTGACAGCTGCCTGCTGGCGCCCAGCCCGTGCACCTGTCCCCAGGTCAGTAACCCTGGGTCCTGCGGTATCTAGCCAGCCCCCCTGGATGGGCCTGATGACATCCTGCTTGCTTTTAATTCATCGCCAGGACACGTAGCAGCAACCTGGGTGGGGAATTCTGGGTAAAAAAGCATGTACTTTTGTAATTGTGATAGTTCTTGTCCAGTGGCCTCCTTGCTAACTGCCACCAGTCCGTGCTCTCTCGGCAATCTATGTCCGCGCCGGCAAATAACCAGCCTTGCCCGTGAAGCGTTTGAGGGTGTCTCCCCTGGTGCCGATCGGGGGTGAAAACAGTCTCACGATGTGGTTTGGATCTGCATCTCCCTGATGATGAGTTAGAGTCAGCATCTTTCACGTGCCTGAGTCATTTGCGTTTCCTCTTCTATAAACTGTCTCTTCATATTTTTTGCTCTTTTTGCTACAGGATTTGCTTTTGGCTTATTCCTTTGCAGGAGCTCTTTGTAGATCTGGAAAGTTGGCCCCTGGGCTGATGAACTGTAAATAATTCTCCCTAGTTTGTGGCACACACTTGGACTTTGCCGGTCGCAGTTTTCCCACAGGAACGTTTTCTTCTTAAGGGTGTGGCTGTGTCACCCCTTTTCATGACTTCTGGCTTTCGTGTTGGAAGTCCTTCCTGCGCCAAGATTATAAAGAACTCTCTATGGGATCATTTGATAATTACATGTTTCTACTTGTTTTAACATTTAACATTTCTACTTTTTTAACATTACCATTTAAATTCCAAAAAGAATTTCACATTCTTTTTGGAAGTTACTTTCAGGCATAATATGGTCCTTCTTTGTTCTTTGATGGCTTCCCACGGTTCCTGACGACCTACTGAGTAATCTGTCCTTTTCCCTCTAACTGGCACTTTTATCATGTAGTAACTTTTTCTCATTGTAAAAAGTCTATTGAGATCTGTTTCTGAGCTTTTTATTTACTTTCATTTATCTCTCTAGTCTTATGCCAATATCATACTGCTTTAAATACTACAGTTTTACACTATGTTTTAATCAAGATCTTTTTTTGAGAGTCTCTGGTTGCCTCGAGTCCCGGGGAGGGGGGCCTGGAGCACAGAGGTGCCCAGGACACGTCAGACACTGTGCTCGTCACGACAGCCAGGACTTACTTCATTTATCGGGCACCTACTCTACGTGTCAGGCACTTTCCACACAGTATTTCATTTACTCCTTGTGATAATTCTGTTCATCTGGTCTTGTGCCCACTTTTAAAAATTATACCACTGACATTTAGTAAGCATTTACTATTTTGGTGCCAACCAGTGTGCTAAGCACATTACTTGAATTTTCTTTCTTTAAAAAAATTGCCTGTGTGTAGAGGATGCATTGTTTTTTTTTTTATTTATTTATTTTATTTTTAGAGAAGGGAAGAGAGGGAGAAAGAGGAAAGAGAGGGAGAGAAACATCACTGCGTGGTTGCCTCTCAAGCGCCCCCTACTGGGGACCTGGCCCACAATCCAGGCATGTGCCCTGAGAGGGAATCAAACTGGCAACCTTTTGCTTCTCAGTCCTCTGAGCCACACCAAGCAGGGCTGCATTTTCTCATTCATCTTCCCTAATACCCACTAGGGTAGGCCCTCGCTCTCCCCACTTCACGGCTCAGGAAACACACTTTGCGACTGCAGAGTAGACCGCAGGGCCGGGATTTGACTGACGGATATACTTGTGTGTGTCCCTCAGCTCTGGCCAACCATCTGCCACGGAACCCAAATGCCAGCCACCCTCAAAAGGCCAACCTCTGGCACCTTTGCAAGGCTGGGTCCCAGCACCCAGGCAGGGCTCACAGAACACATGGATGTTCCTCCTATGTCCCTGTCCTTCCCACGGTCATCAAACACCACAACCTGCCCAGCATGGAAGACCAAAGACGGTGACATCAGAGGACAGTGGGCTGCCCTGTGCCTCTGGGTGGGGCTTCTCCTTTCCAGTCAGACCTGAGGAGCGCTGGCCCACTGCTGGGATCCGGTGCTGCCACTGGGGTCCGCAGACACGTGTAGGGAAACCCCCTGACGCCGACACTGCAGCAGTGCCACCGAGCATCGTGGCGCCAGCACGGCAACTGCAAAACTCGTAATGAACATTTTAATTGCATTAGGATCAGGGGGAATTCATTTTATGGCAAGTGTTTCCACCAGCAATTAAATATTTCAATAAGATGCTCTCAGAAACAACCCTTCAGAGACACTTGCTGTGCCCACGGCCGTCCTGGCAGGGGCAGCTGGGGGCAGAGCACCTGCGCACTGAGGGGGATTCTCAGGGATGCTCAGGACACGGCTTAGTCTCCTGCCACTGCAGCAAGACCTCTGAGACAGGCAGAATGGGCTTTGGGTCCGGATCCACCCCCTCAAAACTGCACAATCAAGCAAACCCTTCCAGTCCGAGTCCAGTTCCTCTGTGTATAAAATGAAGATGACACCTCCCTGGGACGTTAGGAAAATAAACACGGGGAAACCAGGAAGCGCCTCCCACACACCCGGGCACCCACGGGCCCTCTGTGGACCTGCATTCTGTGTCCCTGGGCAGCCGTGTCGCAGTCTGGAAAGGCCCCTGCCCATCTCAGCCTTATTGCAGTTTCTTATCGGAACATTTGTTTCCAGACTGGTGGGGCTGGAATAGCAAACCCGCAGAGGAACTCCATCCCAGGCAAGAGTGAATCGTCCCTGCCTGGCAGTGAACCACCATGGATTGGCCCCTGTCTCTGCCCTGACCATCTAGAAACTGATTTAGAGCTTGTTCAGGTCATCGGAGGGCTCCTAGGACGCTGCCAAGAGGGGGCTAAGAAAGGCCCTGCTGGCTTTCAGAGGCACCAACCAGCTTGCAGCTGGCCAAAGGAAGTCAGTCCGGACAGTGTGTGGTGGCCATGGCCGGCCAGTCATAGAGAGTAGGGCAGGGGCTGTGGGGGAGAGGTGGGCCTTAGGGAGGCCTGCCTGAATGTGCAAGGGAGGTAGGTGGGCCGAGTGAGTGCCAGGGCTCAAGGGGATGTGGGGTATAGGGCTGGAGACTAAGATGCCAGACACCAGGCTTAGTTTGGGGGCACATCTTACTTTCCACGAGATGTTTCAGATCCCACCTGTCCCCGAAGGTTCCAACTAGTCTTTGGTCAGACCTGGGCTTGCTGTCTCTAGGAGGTGACCGTGAGGGCTGGAAGCCCAGGGGCTGGGGCTGAGAGCAAGCCTCGGTGAGGGGGCATGGGACCTGGGGGGATGGGGCTGGTGCAGCCGGCCCCTCCCTCACCTCTGCTCCAGTCTGAAGGGCCTTTGTGAGCCTGGCTGGGCTGGGTATCAGGCTCCTGCAGGGGAACTGGCTCCTGTCTCCTGCCCCTGTGGGCCAGGAAAGTTACCCTTCACCCCAACAGTTGCTGGCAGGGCTGGGGGAGGCCTCAGAGGTGACCTGCTGGGCCCAGGAGAGCCCCTCCTCCACAGTTTGCTGGGTGTCTCTTGCACACCCTCAGTGGGGCTGCACCTGGGGCTTCCCTTCCCCCTTGCTCCAGCTCTGTCCCACCTCCCCACCCTCCCTTCTGTCTCTGTTGGTCCTTGGTCCTTGTCACTGGATCTGCCTGCCTCACTGTTTTCTCTGACCGGCCGTCTCTGGCTCCTCTGGGTCTGCGCCTTCTCTTTCTCGCTTCTCTCCTCCCCGCTTTGTCCGCCTCCCGCACTCCCCGTTCCTGCCCCTCGGCACCTCCCTCTCGGACACCCTGGGGACCCTCGGGTGTCCGGCCACACCTGCTCTGACCCCGTCTGTTGGTTCTTCCCCCTCGCAGATGGGGCTGGTGGTCATCCTGGTGTCCACCGTGGTGGCCATGTCGGCCGTGGCCCAGCTGTGGGAGGATGAGTGGGAGGTGCTCCTGATCTCCCTGCAGGTGAGTGGGGGGCACTGCTTCCCCCAAACCCTCAAAAGAAGGCAGCACCTTTTTTATCACTTCCATTTCCTCTGACCAAGACCCAGAGGGGGCAGGGAGGGGGTCCAGGTAACACAGCCAGTCAGAGGCAGGGAGGACTCTGCAGCCCAGGGTGCCTGAACTCCCAGTTTCCTCCAAGAGTCCCCTTTCCTGTGGGTAGAGATGGGCCCTCAGGATGTTGGTGGCCAGAGGGCCTGGCATGGCTGGGAGTCAACGGCCCTCTTGCCCCTCCCACACCAGGGCACAGCTCCGTTCCTGCACATGGGGGCCCTGGCCGCCCTCACGGCGCTCTCCTGGATCGTGGCAGGACAGTTTGCTCGGGCGGAGCGTTCCTGTAAGTACCACTGGGCAGGACCTGTCCCCCAAGGGTTCCCTCCAAGTGCCAGGCCAGCCTGCCCTGCCCTCACCTGGATGTTCCCTGGGATGAGGTCTGGCCTCACCCTCCGTGTGGGCAGCTCTGTTCAGAGTGGTCTGTGCATTCTCTGGGGGCTGCAGCCTCAAGTCGGCTGTGCCTGTTCCCTCTTCTGCATCTGCCTGGGATGTCTGTGTGTGGCTTAGGGGCCAGGGTCGCCCTCCAGCCAGGGTGGGGGCTGACCTTAGTGCAGGGTCCCTTCAGAGCATCTGGGTCCTGGCAGGCAGAGGAAGAGGGGTCCCCCTGCCCAGGGCTCACGGTCGGGCCTGGGGGGAGCCGAACGCTCAGCAGGCTGTGTCACGGCCTGTGCCCGCAGCCTCCCAGATGGCCATCCTCTGCACCTTCTTTGCTGTGGTGTTTGCCCTCTACCTGGCCCCTCTCACCTTCTCCTCTCCCTGCATCATGGAGAAGAAGGACCTGGGCCCCAAGCCCGCCCTCATTGGCCACCGCGGCGCCCCCATGGTGAGTGCCGCCTGAGGGCCCTAAAGACAGGGGTGGGGGTGAGGTGGGGGGAGCAGAGCTGCCATTTTAGGGGGAGCTGAGCAAGACCTATCTCCCTGTAGGGAGGAACTTGGAAGGAAATGAATATAACACATGTAATATAGTAATAGTAACAATGTTCAGCCCTTTGGCGGGTACATGGGAAGGACTGATGAAAAGGCAGGAGAAGAGCTTACACGGGATCGAATCCTGATTCACCCTGAAGGCATCCGGTAAAACACTGCGACTTCTGTCACGAGGGCCCTGGAAGGACACAGCAGGGTTTGGGCCAGGTTGTGGGTTAGGAAGGCCCAGAGGAGAGAGAGCTGCAGGTGTGGGCTGGAGAGCAGGGCCCGCAGGCCGGGCAGCAGGAGAACCCACCCCCAGGAGAGGCAGGTGAAGCGCAGAGCCCACCGCTAAAGGGAAGCCTGAAAGCTGGACTGTGCTGAGACAGAGGGAGGGGATCAAAGCCAGTGACGCCCCCTCTACTGGGGCCCCGGCCCCTGCAGCAGGCCCACCCCCACAAGGCCTCCTCCGCACCTTGGCAGCTACGGAAGGCCGACTTCACCTTCTCTGTGCCAGTTCCCTCATCTTCTACCCTGAGATAATGAGGCTGCCTGAGGCGGAGGGCCCCGTGAGGCAGGACTTACACCGAGAGAAGTGCCCAGCTCTGACCCCGGTGGACATTACTGTTATCTTGGGCAGGACCTCCCCCTTCTCTGGACCTGGGCTTCCTCACCTTGAACTTGGGTTCTAAACAGAGGCAGTACCACTCCCCACCGCTAGTGTGTGCTTGGGGTATTCGTGAGAGCGTTTGCTTGGTTATCACAGGGACTGGGAGTGCTATGGTATTGAATTCAGGGTAGTCAAGGCAGCCTAACAAAGAAGTTTTAAAAGGAGGTGCTGAGTCCGAAGGGGCTGTGAATCACCCTAAAGGCCCGCCTGCACTGCGTGTGGTGGCCGTTATGCCCACTTTCCAGGTGAGACCCAGAGACCTGTGCCCTCCCACCACATCCCGGTCCTGTCACATCACTTCCTGGAGGCAACCAGCTGGAAAGGCCATGGCTTTGCAGTTGGAGGGATTGGGATTTGGGTCCCGTTCTGCCATATGCTGCCTGTGTGTCTTGGGGGTCACCTGTCTACAGTGAGGATGTGGGAGCACGACTTCTCCCAGTGGTGGGCCCCCCCCTTCCTCTGTGAGCCAGATACCCACCCACCTGCTCCGGAGGCCAGGGTACAGGAGGGGGCGCTGAGTAGGGAAGGAGGCGGCAAGCAGAAGCAGCAGCGTGGCCCAGGGTGGATTTGTCTTTTTTAGTAGAAAATTTTCAAACAATCACAGACATGGAAAGAGCAGTGTAATGAAGAGCATGGTGAATCCAGTCCCACCTTCAACATCTACCAGTGCCTTGCCACTCTCTGCATCTCTCCCTACTTTCCTTGTCCTGCTGCAGCAGTTTGCAGCGGGTTTCGGACATCGTTCCATTCTGCCCACACATACTTCGGGATGTGCCTCTAGTGCACAGGGCTTTTCTTTTAATATGGCCACAACCGCAACGCTTTTATGACAACAGCCCAATAATAGCAACTTCTTAATGTTATCTAATATTGAATCCATGCTCAGTTTTCCTTTATATTCTCAAAAATACCTCTTTACAGTTGAGTCATTAAAAATCAGAACCCAAATGGGGTCCAGCCAGTGCCTGGTTGGATGTGTCTTCTATGTGTGTTTGAGGCTGTAACAATCCCCCCTTTCTTCCATATGCTGCTTATTGTTGAAGAAACAGTCATCCATCCTGTAGAATTTCACACATTTATGCATCTGGCTGGTTGACTTCTCAGGGTGTTTTCTGAGGGGCTGGCAAAGGTGTGGACACAACTCTGCCCGTGTGCGTCTCCCGTGGGAGGTTCTGAGTCCACACGTCTGTGCTGTGAGCCCAGGTACCCAGTGCTGTGCTCCGAGTGCATCGTCCCTATGTGAGTGTGCCTGCGTGTGTGCATTCACACTTTAACACTCCAAATCATGGCCTCTTCACCACGGTGGCTTGCCCACTTGAGTTTGTGGCGCCCCTCACACACACACACACACACACACACTCCCGACAACAGGCTCATACGTGGGCTGAGGCCAGAGGTAGTGGGGGCCCTGAGATGGAGAGTAAGAAGTCACCCTGGAGGCCCAAACACCTCCCGGGCCTTCCTGGGGTCCCGAAACTGGCCAGGGACGGCCAGGTTTCCACGGCTCCAGCACTCGACACAGGGAGACTTCAGTTGGAAAAAGCCTCCAGAAAGAGACTTTACTCCTCCCAAATACTTCCTCTGTGCCTACCCATAGTCTACCCCCTGCAGCCCCAGCCCAGGCAGGAGGGAGCAGTGGTACCTCTCGGGTGGTCACTCAGAGAGGCCAGACTACAGGACCTTTAGGGACGAAATGGGTGGGAAGCCCACGCCTCTCTCTGGGTGCCTCTGTGGCCCACTCCCACTCCCACCCCACATGTGTGAGGCGTCTGTGAGGCCTCACACAGCCTGCTTGACTGGGAGACAGGCAGTGCATTCCCCAAGGCAGCTCTGCACCAGGAAAAGGGGAAGAAAGGAACTCCTGTTACAGAGACTGCTGTTGTCTGTGTTCTCATCTATGAGCTTGGGAACATTAGCCTGCTGTATAGCTAAAGAAACTGAGGTTCCGACAGGTGAGGCGATGGATGGCCCAGGAGTGGAAAATGGAATTGTTTCTCCTCAGCTCCAAAGCCCTTTCCGTGCCAGGCTGCCTCCCACAGGGGAGTGTGTTACATGTTAGAGAACAGCATGGGCGGAGGGAGAGAAGAGGATGAGCCTATGTTGAGAATGAGATCAGCCATGGGGACCCTTACCACCCCATCCCCTCACAGTCAGGAGTCCTCCTCCCTCTGTCTTCCAAGCCTAGCTCCTTGTTCAAGCCCAATCCTTGGTATGGTGCTGACCCCCAGTGGCAGCAAAGAGTATTACAGGGACCTCAGACCAGAGAACTGGGGAGAAAGAACCTCCACCCTCCCCAGTGGAAGGACCCTCAAAGGACAGTGAATATACTCTCTCAAGGGGCCACTGGGGAAACTGTAGTCTGGAGGAGGAAGAGATGCACCCCAAGTCACAAAGCTGGTTAAGTGGCAGAGCCAGGGACAGAAACAGCTCTTCTGACATGGATGCCACAGGGTTAGCAGTTGTCAGTTATTAAGCACTTACTGTTTATCAAGCAACATGCTTGGGCCTTTTCACCCATGTGACAGTCTCGGAGATAGGCTTGTCATTTTCTGTACAAAGGAGAAAACTGGTCCCCCTTTTGAAACTGCCACCTCTCCCTCCAGGATCTCAACCTGGACTCGGGGTACAATAAGAAAACTTGGCATTCAGCCCCAGCCCAAGAGGCAGAGGACCATAGAAAAGCCCTCCCACTCCCACACTGCAGACATCAGCACTCACCAATCCCACGCAAAAACCTGTGAGGCAGGCATGACTGAACAGATGAGGACACTGCGTGTCAGAGAAGCCCTGTGGGTGGCCGGGTCACACAGCTATTTCTTGGAGGAGCTGGAATCACGACCAGGCCCAACATGGGGGTTTCATTGGCTGGGGAGGTGCACATCAGCTAAATCTGAGCTCTCCCCTCACCACCTTGTCCCCACAGCTGGCCCCAGAGCACACGCTGATGTCCTTCCGGAAGGCCCTGGAGCAGAAGCTGTACGGGTTACAAGCTGACGTCACCATCAGGTAGGTGTTGCGGATGGGAGGGTGGCACTGTCTCCTGTCCCCATGGCATCCACATCTGGGTCGCTGCTGGAGAGACTTCAGGTCCCAGAACCTCAGGATGGGAGGGCAAGGGCTTGATGATCCACTGAAGGCTGGGCACCCTGTTCATGACCATGAATCTCGTGCCAAACTCCAGGAAATAAAATAAAGAACAGAACAGATGCTCTTGGTTCAAGCAGGGAGGGAGGGCTGGGACCTGGAGTCGCCACAGATCTGCTTGAAGGAAAGACCAGATCCCTATGGAGGACCCAGTCACAGAAAGATGGAGCTCAAACACTCTGACAGGTGAAAGCAGCACATTGCAGAGCGATCACTCACTGTGGTGTCGATGACCCTTTCAAAGACCACGTTAAAATGAGTTGCACGTTTTCTACATGCAGATGTATGTGCACACCAGTACAACAGGCAGGAAGAATCCACCCCCATCTCATAGCAGACACCTCCGAGAAGGGGAGAGGGGCAGGGCTGCCCCGTGGGCGTGCACAGGTTGTGTCCTGGACCTGGGCACCTCTCATGTGAGAACGCCTCCCCCTGGGTAGACGTCCTAGAATTATGTACTTGTCAAACTCTTCTAGTAGATGGTGGCAAAATGCCCAAGGAAGGGGGACCCGGTACCTTTACCGTTTCACACAAAGGCACCATATAGGCTCAGACAGCTGCAGCGGGGTGGACCAGGCTGGTGGGGGCTAAGATTTGTCAAAGGGGCCCGCATTTGCACTGTTCTCATCGTAGCATCGCGTGGTCTGGGTTCTAAGCCAGGATCCAACACTTACTGGCTGTGAACCTTGAGCTAGGTACTTCCTTCTTCCAGCCTCAGTTTCCCCGTTATCAAATAATGTAGTGCCTACCTTCCAAGGCTGCTAAGAGAACAGGCCAACCCTCTTTCCTCAGCAGTCCCCACCCCCACCTGACCCTCACAGAGAATGTGAAGGAGTCACCCACCAGCGCACTGCCCTCCCTGTGCAGACAGGAACCTGAGGCCCAGAGAGGGTGGGTAGATGTCAATGGGGGGAGTGTGTAGGGGGCTGATCACTGTGGGCAGGTGAGGGGCCGGGATGGGCAGTGACCCAGCAGCCCCACCCTCCTGCAGCCTGGACGGCGTGCCCTTCCTCATGCACGACACCACCCTGCGGCGCACCACCAACGTGGAGGAGCAGTTCCCCGAGCTCGCCCGCAGGCCCGCCTCCATGCTCAACTGGACTGTCCTGCAGAGGCTCAACGCCGGCCGCTGGTTCCTGAAGGTCTGGCTGCAGCTGTCCCACTCCTAGGCTTGGAAAGCATGGGCGGGGACCCTCCGGAGTGAGAGAGCCGGGCGGCCATCACTCAGGTGACCCCCGCACCCCCAGCTTCCCTCAGGCCAGGCTGCTTAGTGGCCTCCTTGGGCTCCCACCACCGCAGCCCAAATGTTGTGGTTGTCACTACTTGTGCTGGTCCTGTCTCCCTCACCAGAAAACGCTGTTGGTGATAGTTAAAACTGTCAAATCTGTAAAACTCTAGAGGGAGGCTGGTTCTCTGCTCTGAAGTGTTACTAAAGGAGAAACATGCTGGGGTCTGGGAGACATTCCAAGCATATAGTTCTTTGGGTAGGCAGGGTGTGGCATAGAGGTTAGGGTTGGGGTCTCCGAGAGCCCCCACTGGCCACAGCCAGTACTCTGCTTGGCATGCACACCTCAGTAGACACTGGCAGCTCAGGGGGTCTCCACGCTTGGTAGCCAGGAAGCCGTGTGTAGGCCCCCGAAAGGCTGGTGAGGCATCCACGTGTGTCATTGTCTCTGCCAGACGGACCCCTTCTGGACGGCCAGCTCCCTGTCACCCTCCGACTACAGGGAGGTCCAGAACCAGTCCATCTGCAGCCTAGCCGAGCTCCTGGAGTTGGCCAAGGGCAATGCCACGCTGCTGCTCAACCTGCGAGACCCTCCTCGAGAGCATCCCTACCGCAGCAGCTTCCTCAACGTCACGCTGGAGGCGGTGCTGCGCTCAGGCTTCCCCCAGCACCAGGTGAGGCCGGATGCCCCGCTGGCCCAGCCACGCCCCCTGGGGAGCCCCGTCTCCTCACCGCCCTGCCCTGGGCAGCCCAGGCCTGGCTGGAGCAGGAGTCCAGTATAAACTCACCACATACCCTGTCCAGACCTCAGCTTCCACATTTGTAAAATGGGATCAAGAGGGGAACAAGTAGGGAAAGAGAAAGTCCTTTAAAGTACAAAGGGCAGGAGCAAATTCAAGTTTTATAAAGTACTGTTACCTCTACGAAGCACTGTCCACAGCCTTGTGGTGTAGTATTTGGAGGATGGCGGACTCCCACACCAACGTGTGACGTGCACTCGATGCTGGTGGCCTTGGGCAGAGTAACTGCCATTCAGGCCAGCAGGCTCACCATGACTGGGGTCGAGAGGGAAGCTCCCTGGGTTAAAGCGGTTCGAGGCCTTGGCTGGGACCAAGTCACCCCTGATGATGGCCAGTATGTGCAAGGTTTCACTGAGTGCTGGGGCCTGACCCTCCCAACTCTTCAAGGTGCTTTCGGGCGTGGGGAGGGACATTCTAAACCCATTTTGCAGATGAGAAATCAGAGGCCACCCCCTCTCTGCCTACAGATCATGTGGCTGCCCAACAGGCAGAGGCCCTTCGTGCGGAAGGTGGCTCCTGGCTTCCAGCAGACGTCAGGCTCCAAGGAGGCAGCCGCCAACCTGCGGAGAGGCCACATCCAGCGGCTGAACCTGCGCTACACTCAGGTGTCCCGCCAGGAGCTCAGGTGCCCACCCCACCCCCTCCAGCTTGCCCAGGGGAGGGCAAGGCCAAGTCCCTCCATCCCACCTCTCTCTCTCTCTCTCTCACACACACACACACACCTGCACACCCGAAGAACCAGGCAGAGGGCTGGAAGCACAGGGGCTCTGGTTCAAAGAGATGTAGAGAGCATGAGGCACACATGGGCTTGTCTCTGCGTCCAGGGTGCTCCAGGGGTGCAGAGGCCTTCCTCTGGGAACAGCTGTGAGGATGGCACCCAGCTCCACAGGCTTCCCAGGGGCCCAGGTCCATGGGCTGACCAGCCTCTGTCCCCTCCCCACAGGGACTATGCATCCTGGAACCTGAGTGTGAACCTCTACACGGTCAATGCACCCTGGCTCTTCTCCCTGCTGTGGTGCTCGGGGGTCCCCTCTGTCACCTCTGACAACTCCCACACCCTGTCCCAGGTGCCTTCCCCACTCTGGATCATGGTGAGTTAGGGGGGGTGTTTGGGGGGCAGAGGGCACCTGGAGGGGGCAGAGAGCTGCTGGCGGCACCCAGGAAGGTGCAGGCTCCACACTTGGGGCTCCCTGGTGAGGCCTCAGGTTGTGGGGAGCCTGTGGAGGGGGCAGGCCTGAGGCACGAGGAGGGTTTCTGTGACCATTTTCTGCACTAAGGTGCTGGGACATGGGAGGCACCTGGCCTCGTGGGGAGAAAACATCTAGTGAACCACTGCTGGAGTTCTGGTTTGGGTGTTAAAGTTTATTACATTTTGTTTTAAAGGAAGGGAAGGCATTATATATAGAGGGTAACAGGACAAGCACAGGGAACATTAAAATCTGCCGAGATTACAGTGAATCGAACCCCTTTTCAACTGGACGCCCGAGCTCCAGTCCCAGCTCAGCTGCTGGTAGGGGTGGGGAGCCCTTGATCTCCCGCCTGTGTGCTCCCTGTGGCCCCTCTGGGGACGTGAAAGGCAGATGGAGGGTCTCTGTGGCTACGACAGCAGCAGGGTCAGGGAATCAGATCGAGGTTGTGGGTGGTGAAGTCCATCCACCTGCCCACTGTCCTTTAAAATCTCTGGGCGCTCAGCCCAGGATGAGACGAAGCAGCACTGTGGCAGCGAGAGCACACGTGAGTTTTGGGAGTCGTGGGGGTTCACCAACAGCCAGCAGGGCCCCCCCCACGCTGCTTTTCCACAGTCCACCTGAGGTCCAGGTGGTTTGCCTGCTGGGCCCCTCTCCACTGACCCTGGAGAGGAAGCCCCCACGGCCCACACCCTACAGCAACACATGCACTCTTACACACACCCCGCACAGCTGTAGGCCACGTTGTGCCTTCGCACACTTGTTTGACCTTCATCATTTGCCTCTTGCTTTGAGCCCCCTGAAGCACACAGACCCCCCCGAGAGCAAGTGAACTGGTTCAACACAAACCACCTCCGCCCTGAGCACCACACAGGCCCCCTGTGCTGTGTGCATGTGCACCCGGACCCTGACCCAGGCCCACGGTGCCCGGAGCCCACGCCTCCTGGCCCTTCCCTGCCCCTCCCCAGTGGTGACAGGGGTCCTTCCACCCTTGGACCCTCAGTCTGCAGCCTGGTGTGGGCCAGCCGTGATTGGAGCTGACGTAACCATCTGTCCACAGCCCCCGGACGAGTACTGCCTCATGTGGGTCATCGCCGACCTGATCTCCTTCACCCTCATCGTTGGCATCTTTGTGCTCCAGAAGTGAGTAGGCTCCGACCACCTTCCTCAGCCTTCCCTGCCCCAAGACAGACCTGGGCCCACCGCAGCCAGGGGAAGCCCCTCCTGAGCCAGGAGGAGGCCTGACCAGATGGCCTGTGCAGGGGAGGAGGGCTCCCAGTGGCTGCCGGCCCAGCCCCGTGAGCCAGAGCTGGTTGGGTTTGCCTCTGCTGGGTTCTCCGGGTGGACTCTGCCGGGTTTCAGCTCCTCTGCAGCTGGCTCATCTCCTCACCTGTTGCTGCCCAAGGCCAGGGGACCCCACCACACTCAGCACTGGGTTGTGCTGGGCTCGAGACCTCTCACCCCTCAGGACAGCAGCTGGCATAGTGGTCGCAGTGAGGAGGTGGAGGGGCCCGGGGAGGGATCAGGGCCAGGCTGGGGTCCCAACCCAGCCATGAACCCACGGGAAGGGGTTTTATTCTTGACTGACGTTCTCTCTCTGTCCCATACTGCTCTGACCTGGCGCATGTCCCTCCTCTCTCTCCCCACCCCCCCTCTCTGCTGCACTCTGGCATCTCACAGCTATCACTTGATCAGGTAATTCTGGTGTGGTCTTCCTCCTCCTGTTCCTCTTTCTCCCTAGGCCTTGCCACCCCTTTCTCCAGTTCCTCTGAAAACCTGCGCCGAGCAGAGCCTGGGTCAGGCTCCCTCACCCTCCCAGACACCTGCCCGGGAGGCCTCCTCTCCCCCCCCCCCCCCCCCCCCCCCCCGTGTGTGCCCCTCCGCTCTCCCTTCCTCCTGCTGTTTCTGCGGATGGGGAGCCAGTGTTTCTGCAGGTGGCTGACCTGGTCTCTCTCAGCACCCACGCACTTTCCCCTGGAGAGGGGGCTCTGCCCAGGTGCCTCCCCCACTGCCCAGCGCACGCCCACCCTACCGACTTCTGTCTCCCTTCCCGTCCGTTGCCTTCCCCTCTCCGGGTCTGCCTCTCCCATCTCTCATTCTGTCTGTCTCTCTCTCATCTTTATTGCTTTCTGTCTGACCCCACTCCCCCTGGGGAGGGTCCCACAGTGGCTGAGCTGTCCTAGGTGTGCATGGCCCCAAAAGCCCTGGCCTGACATTTTCCTTCTGGCGTCCATGCTAAGTTCCAAGATGAGACTTAGGCCTCGGGGTTTCGAGCCCTCTTTCCTTGGTTGAACGCCTTGGCCCTCCTGGGTCAGGGGAGTCACTGACCAGCTTCTAGGTGGAACTGCTCCCCAGCTGTGGGACTGCTGAGCCCAGCGAAGGTACATTCGCCCAGTCAGCAGACGCCCATCCGCACGTGCTGGCTGGTGCTGTGGGGGCCTGCAGCGGGCGTCAGGCCTTCGCACGCAGAGCCCCAGAACGCCGGGGAGGCCGGCCTGTGGTGGCCCAGGGGCTAAAACAGACACGCTGGACCCGCTCGACACAGCCCAGGCGGTGTCATTGGCCTCCTGGGGGAGAAGATCATTTTCTCACTCTTCCGCTCACTCACCAAGTACGTAGGGCACCACCCCCGCCTACACACACACACACACACACACACACACACACACCACCACCACACACACCACCACCACCACACACACCACCACCACCACCACACACACCACCACCACCACACACATCACCACCACCACACACACACCACCACCACCACACACACACCACCACACACACACCACCACCACACACATCACCACCACCACACACACACACACCACCACCACACACACCACCACCACCACACACACCACCACCACCACACACCCACCACCACCACACACCCACCACCACCACACACACCACCACCACCACACCACACACACACCACACACACACCACACACCACCACCACCACACACACACCACCACCACACACCACCACCACACACACACACACACACACACACACACACACACACACACACACACACACACACACCACACACACACACACACACACACACACACACACACACACACACACACACACACACACACACACCACACACACCACCACACACACACACACACACACACACACACCACACACACACACACACACACCACACACACACACACACACACACACACACACACACACACACACCACACACACACACACACACACACACACACACACACACACACACACACACACCACCACACACACACACACCACACACACACACACACACACACACACACCACCACACACACACACACACACACACACACCACACACACACACCACCACACACACACACACACCACCACACACACACACACACACACACACACACACACACACACACACCACCACACACCACACACACACCACCACCACACACACACCACCACACACACACACACACACACACACACACACACCACCACCACCACCACACACACCCCCACACACACACACCACCACCACACACACACCACACACCACACACACACACACCACACCACACACCACCACCACCACACACACACACCACACCCACCACCACACACACACACACCACACACACACACCACCACACACACACACCACCACCACACACACACACCACACACACACCACCACCACACACACACCACCACCACACACACCACCACCACCACACACACACACCACCACCACACACACACCACCACCACACACACACACACACCACCACCACACACACACCACCACCACACACACCACCACCACCACACACACCACCACCACCACACACACACACCACCACACACACACACACACACCACCACCACACACACCACACACACACCACACACACACCACCACACACACACCACACACACACCACCACCACCACACACACACCACCACACACACACACCACCACCACACACACACACCACCACCACCACCACACACACACCACCACCACACACCACCACCACCACCACACACACACCACCACACACACACCACCACCACACACCCACACCCACCACCACCACCACCCCCCCAGGCTGGTGCCAGGGACACAGTGATAAATGAGACCCAGCGGCCGTCCTCAAGCACACGCAGGGTGCTCGCCTGGCTAGAGCACGGGCTGCCTTCTCCCCTGCCCCCGGCTTTGCAACTGTCTGTCTGCCCTGTTCTTCCACCCACCTGCCTGTCCATCTGTCTGTCCACTTCTGCTGTGCTGACCCCATCTGGAAACAACTGATTTCTTGTGGAGTCTGGGCTCCCCAGCCCAGCAGGGCCCAGTGCCCTGGGGGGTGGGGTTGTTTCCAAGCTGACCCCCACTGCTCTTGGTGGGAGTGGGGGGCCCAGTAAGTCCTCTGTCCAGGTCACAGAACGAGTCTTCAGTTCAGAGGAACTGCAGCGGGAAACACAGTGCCTGGCTCTGCCGGGCCCCTGCACACCCTGTGCAGCACCACCGCTCAGCCCACTTGATTCATTTTACCCCCGGCCCTGGCCTTGCTGCCTCGGCCATCAGAGGGGTTGACGCTGCAGCCTGGCCTCCCCACTCTGCCGGAGTAGCTACAGCCCCCACCCCAAGTCACTCCAACGCCTTTGGCACTGAACCTTTTGAAGACAAGTTCTGAGCAAGGCCCAGCCGTGTCCCCTCCCCTCCCCTCCAGGGTTTCCCCCGGGCTCACTCAGCACAGTCATGACAGAGGAGCTGCAGGAGAGACATCAGCTGGGGCTCCCCAAGATGGGTGTGTACCCCGGGGTGGGCCATCAGAGTCATGCCTGCTAAGCCCTCCCCTGCCCCAAATTTATCCCATTCAGAGAGAGCCAGGTGCATAATGGGGGGGGCACCTGAGGCACAACCAACCAAGTAACCAGCCCAAAGCACCTTCCTGAGCAAGGGGAGTAGACCTCAGGCTCCAGAGGTCAGAGGGGGCAGCAGAGCCCTGGCTGAGAATTGGCAGCTCCGATTCAAGCCCCAGCTCTGCCCCTCCCTGGGCCCTGCCTGTGCAGTTGGACCAGTGCCCTGCTGGCCTCGGGCCAGACCCAGAGAGGCTCTGGGAATAGGCAGGGTCCCTGCTCCAGAGGAAGGTCCTGATGTGCATGGCTGTCTCCGCAGGTGGCGCCTGGGTGGCATACGGAGCTACAACCCCGAGCAGATCATGCTGAGTGCAGCGGTGCACCGCAGCAGCCGGGACGTCAGCATCATGAAGGAGAAGCTCATCTTCTCAGGTGGGCAGCCCCGCAGACAGGCTGAGCCAGGCACTGGGCTCAGCTGGGATGGGGGCGCACACGTTCACACACCGGCAGGGACATGGCACATACAGGCGGGGCCCACACAGGGACAGAGGCGTGTGTTCACACGTAGATGTGCACACTCTCCATGTGCGGCCATCAACTCCTGATCCTGCAGCTCACTGTCCGCCCCCCGAGGTGGTGGGCAAAGCTGCTGTGCAGGAGAGAGAGCAGGGGATCTGCTTGGAAGGCCTTTCCCCATTGCCTGGTTCATCCGGGGACCCACACATATGGATTTCATCCCGTTGTCGCCGGCCGGTTGACATCCCCAGTCTGGCGGAGGAGGCAGCTATAAAAGCGAACAGGGGAAGCTGGGCATCACGAGAGCTCTAACAGATGACGGTGCTGAACCAGAGTGTGGGGTGCAGGGGGGGAGAGAGTGGCCAGAGCTCCCTGGGCCAGTGCGCAGGGTTTTGGAACCCTCTGTGCAAGGAGTGACGTGGGTGAAACAGGCTGGGAGAGCGGAGGGAAGGAAGGGCGTCCCAGGCACGAAAAACCTGTGGTCAGAGGTGGCGAGGGAGTGCTGCCTTCCAGGGCACCGACAGCTAAACATCTTTCTAGATGGCTTGGGGGAGGGGCCTTTGACAGGCTCACCCCAAGATGGTGCTAGGGGGTGGGGGAGGGGACATTCTTGGGCCCCGGGTGTGTGATCAGGAACTTGGGCTTCATTCTGAAAGCAGAGCAGGGCCAGGGGCAGATTTGTCTTCACAGGCTGTGACAAAGAACCACAAAGTGGGGGCCTACACAACAGAGATTTGTTGTCTCACTGTTCTGGAGGCTGGGAGTCCCAGACAATGGGGTCAGCAGGGCTGCTTGGGAAGATCTGGCCCATGCTGCCTCCTCGGTTTGCAAAGGGTCGTCTTCCTGTTCACACGACATTCTCCTAGTGTGCGGCTCGGTAATTCAGGCCAGGGATGTGGGCGTGGAAACAGAGAGAGCGGAGAGATTTAGAGCACACTTCAAATCCCAGATCTACCCCAGCTAGCTGTGTGAGCCGGAGCACACTGTCTAACCTCTCTCGGCATCAGACTCTTCTCTGTAAAGTGGGCTAGCACCCCCTCTCGGGGTGCTTGTGAGGGTTACTGCCATGCCCGGCCCAGAGGGGTACTTGGTGAACACTGCGTGAGTGCAAAAAGGCCCCATGGGGGTGACTGTGCTTTGTGAAGGCTGGATCCAAGGATCAAGGACCGTGTGAACATCTCATTCGCTCCTTCCCTCACTCGCCCCTCTAACAGATGAATGCCACACGCTGCTCTAGGTGCCTAGGACACACAGATTCAGGCTTACCTTAGCTCAGAAAACCTCCTACAAGGAGCCTTCCCTGAGCCCCAGGACCAGGCTGAAGGGCCTCCCTGGCCTCCCATAGCCCTCTGGCCACACAGGAGAGCTCCTGGAGGAAGGGGCCAGCCCCAGGCACCCAGGGTCCCCAGACCCCGCACCCTGCCCAGCCTGGAGGAGTCAGAAGGGGTGGGTGGAGTGAACGAAAGGCAGGAGGCCCGGCAGCTCCCGCCCATCCAGACCCTGCCTCTCCTGTGGTCTCTCGCCTAAGACCATTCACTGGGCACCTTCCGAGCGCAGGCTCTGAGGAGTCAGCCCCAGGCCTCGCCCCTGCCCACTCCAGGTTGATGAGAGGTCCTCCCCAGAGACCCTCAACCCCACTGAGGAACCCCCGTCCTCTCAGTGGGGTGCGCAGCTCCACTCAGCAGACCTTTCCTGTGCCTCTGCTATGTGTCCTAACTGTGCCAGGCCCTGGGGACACAGATGCCCAGACGTTACCCCTGTCCTTGCAGTGTTCCAGATGGTGAGGCCACAGACCGTGACAGCACAGGCTGTGACTGCGCAGGGGCAGCAGGGACTAGGGTGACGAGGGGAAGGTCCCACCCCAGCCAGGGGAGGGGGAATCAGGGAGGCTTTCAGGAGGCTGCAGTAACAGAGAGGAGAGGAACTGAGCCAGACTTTAAGGCAAGGAGATACTGATGGGGAGGTCACCCCCAGAAGAGGGGGTGCCAGGCCCTGTGGAGAGGAAACACACCGTGCCATGCTCGGGAGGGTGCAGGTGGTTTTCGGTGGCTAGAAGGAAGTGTTCCAGGAGAGAGTGGACACCAAGCAGGGCCCTGAACAACAAGCTCAACACCAAACCTGAACCCAGTGGTCTCGCCAGCCTCCAAGTGCCTGGCCAGGCGTCGCTGCAGACCGCCCTTCCCACAGTACCCCCAGGGAGCCCTCTCCCGCCTCCACTCACATTCTGCCTCCTCTGGCCCAGCAGAGATCAGCGACGGCATGGAGGTCTCCGACGAGCTCTCTGTGTGTTCCGACAACAGCTACGACACATACTCCAACAGCACCACCACCCCAGTGGACCCCCGGGGGACTGGCAGCCGTGCCAAGACCCTCACAGACCGGAGTGGCCGCTAGTTGAAGACCTGTCTTCCCAGGCTGGACCTAACGTGGAGACCAGGGAGCCCAAAAGAGCTGGCAGAAGCGTGTCTGGACTCGGAGTGCCCTGGGAGCTGGCTCCACGGCCTCCTCAGTGGCTCTAGCCCTCCTTGTCTGCCATGGCCTCTCCTGCCCCCTTGCCCCTGAGGCCCAGCTGGGCTAGGACTCCAGCCTCTCAGATGCCCCTGCAGGCCTGGGGATCCTTCTGCTGGGAACGGTGGGAACTGGGGCCCGGTCCTGCCGAGGTCCCCCCTTGCACCCCGATCTGGAAGCTCTGCTGGGCCGTGCCATACCCCCGTGGCAGGGGAGGGTGTGGATGCTCACGTGTTCGTGCTGTGAGGCGGCCAACTTCCCCGTGTTTCTCCTGCCTCGAGGACCTGGCGCTGGGCCTCTGCCCCCAGCAGCCCTCTCTTCACCTGAGTCTCAAAGCACAAGGAGGCTCAACTCAGGAGGAAAGCCGGCCACAGTGGTGCAGCTACGCCTCCTGACCAGGCTCCCGTTGCCACTGCACCCACCCTGGGAAAGGGCCCGAGCCACGTTCCCCAGGAGCAGCTGGAAATGGCCAGAAGAGCAGGCTCAGGGCTGCTCAACCCCGTGCCCGGGTGTCCAGCAGCCCAGGGCATCCACGGACTGACAGGACCTCGGTGGCCACCGGGCAGGGGCCCCCTGGGAAGAGTGGTCTGGGCGTGGTCAAGGGGTGGGCATGTGGCCGAGGAGGCCTGCAGTGGGGGGAGCCTGACGGACCTTGGCCAAGATGATTAAAGCTGCCCTCTCAGCATGTCATTTCTGAATGTCAGTGGGAGGGTGGGGACAGACCTTGCTGGGCTTGGGATTCAGTCTTGGCCCCATGATTTGAGGAGGAGCCATTTTCAGAAATGAGCAGCGAAGGGCAGCAGGTTCCTTAACGGCCCTGGGATGGGGGATATCTCCCCTGACTGCGGTGGGGAAGACTGTCTCGGGCAGGTGAGGTGGCCATCCAAGGCCACAGGGAACGGGTGGCGCCAGAACCCCACCCAGGCCCCCACCCTGGAGTGCGGGAGTGCCTTCTGTGACCGGCTGGGGACAGCGAGGCAGATGGGTAGGGGGCTGCGGGGCCCAGTGCAGGGGCGGGCAATGGGCTGAGGAGGTCCCCTCACAGCCACAGAGAGGCCTTCTGAGCTCCCTGGCCTGGGGAGTGACAGGCCAGGAGATGCCACTCCGCCCTGGTGGAGGTTGGGCTTGGACTTCTCAAGGCTTTGGACCTGACCAAAGTGGGCCCACCCCATTCCTGCACATTGGGGTGCCTGGGCTGAGAGCCCCAATGTAGCCCCTGGGACCACAGATGTCAGATGTCCCTTCCTGCCTTTTGGGCCTTGCACCTCTGCCCTCCATGAAGGGGGCGAGCAGTGGGGTTTGGGCAGGTCGGTAACTGCCACCTTTGTCCAAAGAGTCTGTGTGACCCTGGGTGTGTCTAGGGGGAAGGCAGGGGGCCGACCCCCAGCACCAGCCAGCATTGAATAAACAGGGTGCTTCCCGGGAGCCCGGGGACATGTCTCTTCTCCAAACAGGGGTCTTCTGCGTAGAGTTCTTGGGGTCTGAGTGATTCTGCCACCTTCTTGGAGGAAAGGAAAAGAAACCCCAGGCTAGGCTGGGCCCCCCACATTAACTTCTAGGACTGCCCCTCAGGAATGGTGAAGGATTCAGGGGTCAGCCCCCCACCTCTCCTTGGGCCGAAGGGAGTGTGAGTGAAACCTGGAGTGGCAGGGTCAGGAGTGGGGTTCACTGCCCCACCCAAAGTGCCTCAACAAGCTCCTCTCCAGCCTCCGGCAGGCCCACCAGGTGAGAATTTGACCTTTCATGCCAGCTCCTCCCAGTCCAGTCAGCACCCCTGGCCACAGTGTCCAGGGCTCCTGGCCAGACTTGGGCAACCCGAGACACCCTGGAGTTTCCAGAAGAGGGTAGAGCAGGCTGGGCAAGCTGTGCAGAACAGCCAGAGTCCCACCCCCACCAGAGCCCTGCTCTGTACCCCTCACCCCCAGTGCAGGGGCAGTCCCGCTTCCTCCCTGAACCCCCAGCTGGGCAGAGAGCTGGGCCTGTCTCCATGCCAGGTGAGCCCTAGCCCCTGGTCAACCCGGGCTCCTGCCCCTCGACCTGAGGAGTTACTACTGAGAACCCCACCTCCCTGATGTCTTCCCTGTGTCTGCACAGGACAGCCTAAGATGAGTCCCCTCCACTTCCCTGCCACCCCTGTAAACACTCCTCCCTCCCTCCCTTGGTCTCAGTGGCTGACGTCTCCTCAGGGCTGAGCTCACCCTCTACTCCCTCCAGGGCCGCCCCCTGCCCCGGCTATGAACTCTCAGCCTCTCCTCCCCAGGTACAGCTATGAAGATGCCTGAACCTAGAGGTCCAAGGCAGCCTTGGTGTAGGAGGACACTGTACTCGACCATGAAAACCAAAGACACACGTTAAGTATAGAGAACAATTACTCCTGTAAGAGAACTGAGGACTGAATGGCAGCTTCTGAAAACCAGAAAGAGACCGAGTAGAGGAGGCTGGGAAGCTGTGGAAGCCCTCCAGGAGCCGTGGGAATGCTCCCTGCTGGAGAAGCCATTGACCACCACTGTTTACACTCAGCTCCACTTTGACAGGGTGGGCAGAGCTCTGTTTGGAGGGCTCTGCAAGACTGCCTGGAGCCCTCCAACGAAAAGGAGAAAGCAGGAAAAGAGGATGTCACCACGTGCACCTGGCTTCCCTGTCAGGACCGCTAAGCCTGGCAGGCCAGTGACCCAGGCTCCATAAGCACCCAATCGGCTGCAACTAGCTTCCCCCAAACTACCAGGCACATAAAGGCACAGAAGCTGCTTCTACACAGGCTCACTCTCTGTACAACAGGAGAGAGACTGTATGAAGAACGGCGGGAGCCATGCGAGCTCTCCAGGAACCATGGGAATACTTTGAGGCTGGAGGCGCAAGTGAATACCATTGTCTACATCCCCTCCGCCTCCACAGGGTAACTGGGGCCTCAGTCCAGGCACTCGGGCATGCCTGCAAGGTTGCTGCAGGTGAGTTCCCAGACACACCACTGGAGCCCATGCTGGCTCCAAACGAAGGGAGCAAGCACACCCCGTAGGACGTTACTATGTGCACCTGGACTCCCATCCGGAGCCAGTGCCCAGTGTGCCCCAGGCACCCGCTCAGCCCCTCCCAGCCAGCCGAAGTCACCCGACAGTCCACACACAGCCTGCCTCTACATAAGGCCACTTTCTCAAGACTGGAAGAGACCGCTATTTTCCCTAATTCATTTGAACTCATACAGAAAGGAAAAAGAAGATGAAAAGATAGTATGTCTCTCAAATGAAGGAAAAAGAAAAATCCCCAGAGAAAAACTTGTATCAACCAGTGTTACGCTGGTAAATTTAATTTTAAAATAAAATTAAATAAAGAGAAAAACCTAAAGGAAATGGAGATAAATAATTTTCCTGAAGAAAAATTCAAAGCAACAGTCATAAGGATGCTCACCAAACTTGAGAATGAAATAGGGGAACTTATGGAGAACTTTAACAAAGAGTTAGAAAGTATAATAAATAACCAGGCAGAACTAAAGAATACAATGGCAGAGATGAAAAACCCATTAGGGGGAATCAACACAGATTATCTAACAGAGACGAAAAGGTAAGTGACCCTGAGGATAAACTAGTGGAAATCAACCAATCAGAAAGCAGAAAGAAAATGAGGGCTAGTTTAAGGGACCTCCAGGATAATACTAAGTGCTCAAACATTTACATTATAGAAATTCCAGAAGGAGAAAAGAACAGAAAATTTATTTAGAAAAAAATATTAAATACTAATGAATTCCTAATTAAATATTTATTTTAAATCTGGTTAACAAAACAGAAAAGAAACAGAAGCTTTATTTAGACAAATAACAGCAAAAAACCTTCCTAACCTGGGAAAGGAAACAGACACCCAGTTCCAGGAAGCACAGAGAATCCCAAACAACGTGCAGCCAAAGAGACCACACCAGGGCATGTTGTAATTAAATGGCAGAAGTGAAAGAATCAGGAGGAAAACAACAAGTTACATACAAGGGAAACAGCATAATGCCTTCAGCTGATTTATCAGCAGCAACTTCACTGGTCAGAAGGGAGTGGCAGGACCTCTTTGGAGTGCTGAAAGAAAGGAGCCTGCAACCCAGAATAATTTAAACAGCAAGGTTACCACTCAGAATCGAAGGAAAGAGGAACAGTTTCCTGACCAAGCAAAAACTAAAGGAGCAAATCACCATTAAACCAATTTTACAAGAAATGTTGAAGGGTCTTCTTTAAACAGAAAAGGAACGGCCATAACCAGAAATAAGAAAATATGAGAAAGGGAAAAAAATCCAACAGACAAAGGCAAATACTTAATAAATACAGTAAATCAGACATCTAAAAAGCTACTACAAAGGTCAAAAGAAAAGGTATCAAACTCAATTCTAACTACAATACATACTTAGGAGATACTCAACACAAAAAGATCTAAAAAATAACAACAAAAACATAAACCATGGAAGGGGTTGTAAGGGGTTGTAATGGAAGGGAAGCCATTGTAAAAATGTAGTCCTTATAAAATATACTTAAATTTAAATGCTTAAAATGTACTGCTATAGAGATAGAGTGATGTACGTAAACCTCATGGTAGCCACAAATCAAAAGCCTACAAAATATGCAAACAAGCAAGCAAGCAAGCAAGAAAAAACCCCAAAAAGGAATACAAACAAAATGCTCAAGTAAAAATGCAAACCACACAGAAGACACAAAAAAAGAAGAGGACTATAAAAACCACCATAAAACAATTTAAAAATGTCAATAAGTACATACATATCAATTACTTTAGAAGTAAATAGGATGGCTGAATGTATTAAAAACCATGATCCATCTATATGCTGCTTATGAGACTCAGTTCAAATCAAAAGACACATTCAGACTGAAAGTGAAATTAACAAGGAAACAATGGCTTTGCCCTGGCTGGTGTGGCTCAGTGGATAGAGTACTGGCTTGAGAACCAAGGGTCGTGGGCTCGATTCCCAGTCAGGGTACACGCCTGGGTTGTGGCCAGGCCCCCAGTTCAGGGCATGCGAGAGGCAATCACACATTGATGTTTCTCTCCCTCTCTTTCTCCCTCCCTTCCCTTCTCTCTAAAAAGTAAATAGAATCTTTTAAAAAAAGAAAGAAAGAAACAGTGGCCCTAAATGACAATTAGGCCAGATGGAATTAGTATTTTTTTAAACATTTCACCCAAAAGTAGCAAAATATATATTGTTTTCGAGTACACAGGACAGACCACATGTTAGGCCACAAAACAAGTATCAAAAAATTTAAGAAGATTGAAATCGTATAAAGCACCTCCTCTGATCACAATAGGATGAACTGGAAATCAATACAAGAAGAAAAATGAAAAACACACAAATGTGTGGAGGCTAAGTAACATACTACTAAACAATGACGGGATTAGCAATGAGATCAAGGAGTAAGTGAAAAGATGCTGTGAGATAAATGAAAATGAAAATGAAAATGAAAATACTAATACAATAACCCCAAATCTATGAGGCATAGACAAAGCAGTCCTAATGGGGAAATTCATAGCAATAAAGTCCTACCTCAAGAAACAAGAAAAATCTCAAATAAACAATAAACCTTACACCTAAAAGAATTAGGAAAAAAACAAGCAAAGCCCAAAGCCCAAGGAAAGGAAATAATGAAGATCAGAATGAAAATACAAACAATAGAGACTAAAAATAGCAACAAAAAAAATCAATGAAATCAAGAACTGGTTCTTTAAAATATAATCAAAATTAATAAGGCTTTAGCCAGACTCATCAAGAAAATAGAGAGAGAGGGCCCAAATAACTAAAATCAGAAGTGAAAGAGAAGTAACAACAGACACCATAGAAATAGAAAAGAGTATAAGAACATACTACAAACAATTATATGCCAACAAATTAGACAGCCAGAAGAAAAGACAAGTTTCTAGAAACATACAATCTTCCAAGACTGAATGAGGAAGAAGCAGAAAATCTGAATAGACCATAACTATTAATGAAATAGATGCAGTAATCAAAAACTCCCCCAAAATAAAATTCCTGTACCAGATGGTTTCATAGGTAAAGTTTACCAAACATTCAACTAAGAACACCAATCCTCAAACAATTACGAAAAACTGAAGAGGAGGGAAAGCTCCCAAATTCATTTTATGAGGCCAGCATTACCCTGGTACCAATACTAGAAAAAGACAATACAGAGAAATAAAACTACAGGCCAATATCCTTAATAAAAATCCTCAACAAAATATTAGCAGACCACATTCAGCAATACAGTAAAAGGATCATACCCCTTGATGGAATGGAATTTATTCCTGGGATGCAATGCTAGTTCAATATTAGGAAATCAATGAACATGATATACTACATAAACAAACCAAAGGACAAAAATCACATGATAATATCAACAGATGCAGAAAAAGCATTTGATAAAGTCCAACATCTACTTTTCTTTTTTTTTTTAAGATTGTATTTATTTATTTTTCAGAGAGAGGAGGAGGGAAGAAGAAAGAGAGGGAGGAACATCAATCAGCTGCCTCTTAAATATCCCCAAATAGAGACCCAGCCTGCAACCCAAGGTGCCCTGTCTGGGAATCAAACCGATGACCTTTCAGTTCACAGGCTGGTGCTCAATCTACTGAGCCACACCAGCCAGGGCCAACTAATTTTTATAAAAACTCTCAGCAAAATGCAAATAGAGGAAACATACCTCAACATAGTAAAAGGCATATATGACAAACCCACAATGAAAATCATGCTCTTTAAGATCAGGAACAAGATAAAGATGTCCACTTTCACCAGTTTTATTCAACACAGTAGTGGAAGTCCTAGCCACAGCAGTTAGACAATCAAAATAAATAAAAGGCATCGGAAATGGAAAGGAAGAAATAAAACTCTCATTAGTTGCAGATGACATTATACTATATAAAGAAAACCCTAAAGATTCTACCAAAAAGTTACTAAAACTAATAAATAAATTCATAAAGTAGATGGATACAAAATAAATATTCAGAAATGGTCTGCGTTTTTATACACCAATAATGAACTATTTGAAAGAGAAATTAAGAAAACAGTGACATTTGCAATTGCATCAAACAGAATAAAACACCTAGGAATAAATTTAACCAAAAAGGTGTGAAAGACCTATACTCTGAAAACTATAAGACACTGAAGAAAAAAACTGAAGAACACAAATAAATGGAAGGATACACCTTGCTCATGAATGGGAAGGTTAACATGGTAAAATATCCATACTCTGCAAAGCAATCTACAGATTCAGTGCAATCCCTATCAAAATACTAAAGACATTTTACACAGAACTGAACAAATAATCCTAAAATGTATACAGAACTACAAAAGACGCTGAACAGCCAAAGAAATCTTGAGAAAAAAGAACAAAATTAGAGGTATCATGATGCTTGATATAAACTATACTAGAAGGCTACAGTAATCAAAACAGCATGGTACTGGCATGTAAACAGGCATACAAATCAATGAAACAGAATAGAGTCCAGAAATAAAACCACACCTGTATGGTCATTTATCTACGACAAGGAGGCCAGACTATACAGTAGGGTAAAGACAAATGGTGTTGAGAACACTGAACAGATATACGGCAAAAAATTAAATTGGACCACTTTTTCACACCATATAGAAAAGTTAACTCAAAGTAGATTAAAGTCTTAAGTTACTGTAAGGCCTAAAACCATAAAATACATAGAACACAGGCAGTAAACTCTTTGACATAACTCTTAGCAATATCTTTTTGGATATGTCTCCTCAGGCAAGGGCAACAAAAGGAAAAATAAATGAATGGGACTCTATCAAATTAAAAAATTTTTGCATAGCAAAGGAAACCATCAACAAAACAAAAAGACAACCTACTGAATGGGAGATGATCTTCCCAAATGATACATTCCATAAGGTCCTAATATCCAAAATATACAAGGAATGCATACAACTTTAACACCAAAAAAAATCAGATTTTAAATATGGGCAGAGAACCTGAGTAAACATTTCTCTGAAAAAGGACACACAGATGCCCAGCTGTCATTTGAAAAGATGCTCATCATCACTAATAATCAGGGAAATGCAAATTAAAACCATACTGCTGTGGGGGGAGGAGGGTGGGTAAAGCTGGAAGCAGGTATGGGGGGACAAATGGTAAAGGAAAAAATACAAAAGAATTTATAAATAAATAAATTAAAGAACTGATAGCCCAGGTGGTGTAGCTCAGTGGATTGAGTGCTGGCCTACAAACCAAAGGGTTGCTGGTTCAATTCCCAGTCAGGGCACATGCCTGGGTTGTGAGCCAAGCCCCCAGAAGGGGTCACACAAGAGGCGACCACACACTGATGTTTCTCTCCTTCTGTTTCTCTTTCCCTTCCCCGCTCTCTAAAATTAAATAAATAAAATCTTAAAAAACAAAAGAACTGATAAAATATTTTTAAAATCACACAATGAGATATCACCTCGCACCTGTCAGAATGGCCATGCTCAATAAACAACAAATATAAGTGTTGGCCGGGATGTGAAGAAAGGGGACCCTTATTCACTGCTGGGAGGCTTTTAAATTAGTGCAGGTGCTACGTGAAACAGTATGGAGGGTCCGCAAAAAATTAAAAATAGAGCTGCCATACGACCCAGCGAATCCATTTCTGGGTATTTATCCAAAGAAAACAAAAACACTGATTTGAAAGGATATATGCACTCCTGTGTTCATTGTAGTGTTCGCAGTAATAACCAAGAAAACAGCCTAAGTGTCCATTATAGGTGAATGGATATGAAAGATGTGATACACATACACACACACACACAATGGAATATTATCCAGCAATTAAAAGAATAAAGTTTGCATTTAAAGCAACATGGATGGATTATGCTAAGTGAAATAAGTCAGACAAAGAAAAATACCTTATAATTTCCCTTATATGTGGAATCTTGAAAACGTCAAACAAATAAATAAACAAAACAAAACAGAAACATACTCAAAGATATAGAGAACAAGCTGATGGTTGCCAATGAGTTGAGGGGTAAAGGATGGGAATAAAGACTAAATAAATAGTTTGTAAAAAGTGCCTGAATCTCTCACATCAACAAAGAGCAATACGCACCATCCTATTTTTCGGCAGAAGGGGGATACACCGTTCTCTGAACGGGGTGCACGGAACACTCCATGCCCAGGCCTCAGGACACGCACCTGGCCACCGTGACAGAAACCCCTCCCATCACAGCTCCTTGCACAGACTGGGCCTGCCTGAGCCTGGCCAGGGCGGGCTCCTGCAGCACCCCGGCCTCCATCACTCCTCATGGCACAAGGCTTTCCTTCAGACAGAGCAGGCATCTGGATTATTTCTCCTCTCGTGGTAAAAGGCCAGGGCCAGGGGAGGGGCTAGCCAAGGGCTGTGGGGCAACGGCCAGGAACAGGCCGCTGGGGCCCCAGGCCCAATGGGGCTCTTGTCAAGGCAACTGCCTCCCAAGATGCTGTCCTCTTCCATGAGGCCAAATCTCCTGACCCACCCCAAGAAGACCAGGCCCAGGGCCTTGTGTAGAGGCAACAAATGATCTGGCGCCAGTTTATGGAGTTGCTTCCTTCTGGCTCCAGGAGGCCAGGCCAGCCCAGAGCTGCCTCGTTCTCTCTGCCCCAGCTGGGCTTGTCCAGACCACTGTGCCAGTCCTGCTATGCCCTCCTCCAAGTTGGGTCCACTGTTGAGTGAAAACCTCCTCAACTCGTACCATACCACAGAGAACCCCGGGCTGTCACACACGCCACATGGTCCACAGACACAGACCCCTGACCTGTGCACACACTGTCCACAGAGACACAGCCCTGTCACACACAGAAATGAGCAGCCACAGAGGCACAGAGAGGGACACACCAGGCATATATACAGCTGCACAGTCCCACAGTGACATCTGCTACAAGCAGGAGCACGGACACAACACAGTTACACAGGGGTGGGAGGGAAACCCAGACCTCCAAGCCAGGCAGCCACATTCTTAGTCGCACAGCAGCCACAAGGCTACGCTCACCCCGATGCCACGCAGCTCCCGAGTCCCACGAACCCCCACACTCCCACACAGGCACTCCGGAACACCTGAATGCTCACGACTGCCAGCTCGCACACCATCTCCTAGCAGAGGCACTCGCCTCCACCACCACCCTCACACGTGTGCACCATCCCAGAGCAGAGCCAGGACCAAGTCACCCCAGCCCAGGCACGCAGACCTTGGAGCCACACAGAGTCAATCCCATTCTTACTCCCGCCTTTGTCTTCCTGCAGCTGAACCTGAGCCACAGTCCAAGCAGAGCGGCAGGGACACTGGAGCCCAGGCTGCCAGGGGTTCTGATGGAAGGACAGACAAGAGTGGTCCCGGCAAGAGCAGCAGCTGCAGGGCACCTGGGAGAGGGCGTGGCCAGGTAACTGCATAGAACGCTGGGCTTCCCCAGCTGTGTGGTGTCTACAAATCTAAGCATGTTTGTGTGAGTGGATATGAAAAAGAGTCAGGGTGGCATGTCAACTTTTAGGGGCTGGGTCCCTCACTCTGCATCAGAACCTATGGCTTGAGATGCCCAGACTCTTGGCTGGAATGAGAGAATGGTGGATCAGGCCCTGCCTGGAATCCCGACCTTCCGTGTCCCAACTGGGCATCCTGCCACCCCCAGAATGGGAGTCCCCAGGGTGGAAACCATTTCCGATGTCCCCGCGTGTCCATAGTGCCAGAGCAGTAGACTGCTGCAGAACGAATAAAAAAGTACTGGTGTGCCCCCCAGGAGAGGACGCCGGCACTCCCTCAGACAGCCCCTTGTGCCTGGGGACATCTCTGCAGGGAAAAGTCCCTCCTCATGCTGATGAGACCTACTCTCTCAGCTCGGTGTGCCTGCTTTCTCTGTTCAGGGAGAATGGAATGGAACCAGCACACTCGGCTAACCTCTCTCACATCCCTCAGCTGCACCTTGGTCCAGCTGCACCTTGGGACATGCCCCCCATCTAGCCAATGTGGCTGAGCTCCTAGGTACTGAGAGTCTGGAGCCAGGTGTGGGCCCGAACCCTCTACTTGGGCAAAGCTGACTTCCCAGGGCCTTGCCCACCAGAGAGCTCATTTACTATGATTTTGAGGCAGGGGATCCACCCCCAGTATGATGTATGACCCAGGCATAAGCAGTCAAAGGCAGGCTGAAGTGGGCAAATCCGATCTCCAGGGCAGAGCAAGTACCTGGGATCAGGAGAATGAAGGGAGAGGCAAGGGGCAGAGGCCAGAGCTATGACCCCCTTGAGTAAGTTAGCACATAAAGGAGTGAGCTCCCTGTCCTTGGAGGTGTGCAAGCAGAGGCTGTATGTTCATAATGGGCAAAACATGACTGGCCCAGCCCACCCTTCAGTCTGTAGAGTGCCTTCATGAACACCCCTCCTGTGATCCTCACAGCAGCCTCTGAAAGGCAGGTTCCCTCTGTGTCCTTGTTTCCACAGGACAAACTTAAAAAAGAAGAGGGTGCAGCTGTAAAGAAAACTTTTCAGGGTTGCAAGGATCAACAGTACATACAAAAAAGCAACTAAGTGTTCATCCTTCCTCTTAAGTAAAAGCAAGGTGAAGAACACTGTTGAGTGTGTACTATGCACGTAGCACTTTTCACGATTCCATTTAAGAGTCACAAAGTGACGGCAACCCTGTGAAATAGGCACTGTGACCCCTTTTCAAATTAGGAAACTGAAGGGGAGTGAGCTGCACAGGTCACACGGGGACTGGATGCTGAGGCTGGAGCAGTCCTTGGAGCCCATCTCCACTTCTCCACTGTGGTTTTTTGGAACAGAGGGGCCCACTCTCCCCTTAGCCTGGGCTCCAACCTCATGCTCTCCTTCCCCTGGGCCCTTGCACGGGCTGTTTTCTCAGCTGCAGACATCCTTCCTCTTCTGGAAAATTCTACCTAGCCTCAGTCTGAAGGTCCCCTCCTCAGGGGCACCTTCCCTGGCTCTCCCCTCCCAGCTCAGTGCCCCTTCTAAGAGGTCCCCTAATACTCTGTACTCCTCATGGGACCCCACCCCAAGCTATGAGCTCCTGGAGAGCAGGAACCATGACTGCCTTACTCACTGCCTGGCACAGAAAAGGCTCTCCATCCATACTTGTTTAATAGTCACTTACTTGCCTCGAACAGGTATTGAGCATGTGCTATGGGCCAGAGACTGTGTGTTGGGGGAGGGGCCAGCAGTCAACGAAACAACCCGGTTTGGTCAGTGGGGAGCATCTACAGAAGACGGGCAGGAGACAGGGTGGGGTGAGAGAGGAAGGCAGCGTTATGCCCCTCCGCACACACTGGGTGTCTATGAGATCACCTGAACTCCCTGACCAAAGGCTCCAGCTCCTATGAGGTACCCTTCCCTACACAGATATTTTGTACAGGCTCCAGTAGCCTCTCAGCCCAGCCCCTTCAGTCCCTGGGAGAGGTCAAGACTCCCTGGAGTTGGCAGCAACATGGCACTGCTGCGTCCCTTGTGGGAGTCCCTAAACACTGTGTACACTCCTTTTTCTTTTCTTTTTTGTCTACATTTTTGAAACCATTCGTTTATTAGACTCTCCTCAAACTAACCCCATTGAAAGCGTGCCAGCTGTCTCGTGTCAATACTAATAGGAAACAGCGTTCGCAAATTGGAGAAGCAATATGGCTGAAGTGGGAGAGAAGGTGCTATAGCTAAGGCAGCGCCTAACCCCTCAGGCAGGCAGGGACTACTTGGTCCTGGTAAGGACCATTAGGAACCTGGGTGGGAGAGTGGAAGGAAGAGCAACTGAATGAGTGAATTAAAAGCACACTACTTACTTTCACTCCTGCCTGCGATGAGGGACCTCTTGCCCTCTCCCCAGCCAGTGGATTTTCCGACGCTATTTGTGTTCTCTACCCAACAGGATGCCAGAGGGCCCCCTTGCTGGAGGAGTCAGAACCAGGCACTGAGGCGCCGTGCCCTGGGTCCTGCCACACGCAGCGCGTGCTGCAGACGCTCAACGCCTACCGTTGGAGTGGCACCCTCAGGGACATAATGTTGCGCGCTGGTGGCCGCGACTATCCATGGCATCAAGCCGCCCTTGGAGCCTGCAGCGCCTATTTCCGCAGCCTGGCGGCTAGAGGGTGGTCCGGCCGTGGTGCCCATGGTGCCCCAGATGCCGGGCGCTGGGCATGGTGCTCAATTACTCGTACGGCGCGGGCGTGCGGCTGCATGCCGAGGACCAGGAGGCCGCTGTGCTGGAACTGGCCCAACCGCTGGGCGTGGGGGGCCTGCGCGAGGCCTGCGCCCTTCCTCAAGGACGGCCTGCGAGCCGCCGACAGCCTGGCGCAGCGCCGCGTGGCCGCGGCCTTCTCACTCCCCTCTCTGGCCGAGCGCCGCAGCCTCTTGCTGCGCTAGGCCCTCACCGAAGTGGTGCGCCACGTGGACTTCCCGGAGCTGGGAAGTGAGGCCACTTCCCAGTGAGGTGGCTGCGCTGCTGGCCCATCCGGCGCTGAGCGTGGCACGCGAAGAGGCCACGTTCCAGGCGGCCTTGCGGTGGGTGCGTCACGACGCACTGGGCAGACGCGGGCAGCTGCGGCGCCTGCCAGAGCACGTGCGCCTGCCCCTGCTGGCGCCGACTACTTCCTGCAGAAGGTGGAGGCTAACGAGCTGCTGCAGGCTTGCAATGAGTGCCGCCTGCTGCTGCTGCTCGAGGCCGGCACCTGCTTCAACCTGGGTTGAGAGGCCAGTGCGCTGTGTACGCGGCCACGAAGATATGCCAACCCCCAATTCCCCAAGCTCCCAGGCTTCTGTTGTTCTTGCTTTCTTCAACCACTCACTCATCCCTTCGTCATTCTTTAGTCCTATCTCTTGAATGAAATCCATTCATTCATTCAACAAACATTTCATAAACTTGGTGTTGGGCATTCTGCCCTTCAGGAGTTAACAGCCACTAGGAAGATTCAGAGATCTCACACCTTATGTGATTTTCCTCTTGCCCATTCATTCATAATTTTGAACTCTCTCTTTGTATATATAGGTCTTGTACTGTCCCTCTGGGACTCAAGGGGGATTTGAAAACACCCTGTAGGTTCTGGTACCTCAGACTAGTAAGGGATTGTGTTCTAGGCAGCGCCTGGAACACTGTACTGGGAGACTTTGGGTGTGGTCTCCCTTATCCTCCCAGGGACAGTAGACAAGGGGGGTCTTCTGTTTTTCGCCGTGTCTCCAATACTAAGCACAGCACCTGGCACAAAGAAGATGCCCAATATCTGTCATAGGAATTAGGTAGGAAGCTAGTGGCTAAAGGGTTTGGAGATTCCGGTGGGATCAGAAGCCCGAGGGCACCAGTTGCGGGGGAAAGGGTGTGTAGCCTGGTTCAGTGGAATTGGTGACTAGAGTGTGGGTTAGGAGATGGTTATAGGAGGGTGGCCGCAGAATTAGGGCAGATGTCAGAAAGGGTGAGGACAATGGGCTAGTGTCAGACAGATCTGGGCTTGCGTGGCCTTGGGCAAGCCAGTCTGGTAGCCTGCTTCCTCCTCTGTGAAAGGAGTCCTGCCTGACAGGACTGCCCTAAAGATTGAACCAGCTGAAAAGCATCTGAGATCTTGCTTCCCAACAACGTTGTTAGTTTGGCTGAAAGAAACTCATAAAACATGACTAAACCAGGTGATTTTTCTAGGTAAGATTAAGGACTTGGTCAAGATTGTTTTTCTGTAGCATAAACATCGGTAGAATGGGGTAAGGACTAGTGACCTTCATCCCATCAATAGCCAGAGGGAAAGTTGGAAGTGACAGAGTCCAGCACAGGGATTAGGAGGGGACAGCAGGGCCTGAGAGGGCAGTAGGACCCTACAGTGTGGTCAGTGAGAGGGTAAGAGAGGACCAAAACTTGGGTGTGGACCAATGGATGTTGGACTTACCCCCATGCCAGGCTCATGGTCCTAGCTGAAGTGATCGTGGTCATTGGCGATTGTGACCGAAAGGGGCTCCTGAAGTTGCCCTTCACTGATGCCTACCACCCAGGGAGCCAGCGCTGGACCCCACTGCCCAGCCTGCCTGGCTACGTGCGTTCAGTGTTCACCGCCTGTACTCTCCGCAATGACATTTGCCTCAGGTGAGAACAGGGCTGCACGGGGAGCCCCACAGGATTGGCTCATCGCCCCCTAGCACCGCCTCTTCATTATTCCCTCCACCTGGGAGGCGGGGGTGGAGGTTTTTTTGCATAACCTAGTAATTGACTGAAATGGTATGTAGTCCTGCAGAGCCAATCACTGGTGTGACTCCACCCTCTATTCAGTAAAGTCTGCTTCAATTCATATTAGTATTAATCACTTATTTTTAACCTACTATGTGCCAGGCACTATGCTAAGCAGCTTACTTTAATTACTTAATTCTCTCTACAACCCCACTTCACATATGAGAAGACAGGCTCAGAGAAATTATGAATTACTCCCCGGTCACAAAACTGACAAAGCTAGGAGGCGCTGTGATACCAACAGATGGTGTCCTCCCGGCGATTCAGGCCCTAGAGACTAGAGAATAAAACACAGTCCCTGCTCACTTGGAGTCTCCTGAGAGGGGGAAACAGACCACTTTATCACAAGGCAGAATTTGACGGGAACTCTCAAGAGTCCCCAGATGAGCTGAATTCCCACTCAGGGGGTCTGGCCCACCTTGGAGGCAACAGCACAGGCAAAGGCATGAAGGCAGGAGTGTGCAGCAAGGAGCCCTGGGCACTCAGGGCTCTGAAGTACAGGCTGAGTTTATCTGGGAGAGGAGGGGAAGCCACTGCAGGTGAGGCAGGAAAGGGAGTCTGGAGTCAGATCAGGGAGGCTTTGAGTCCAGGCCTGGGTAGACTGCACTCCGGTTCCTGGGAAGGGGGAAGAGCTGAAGAATGAGACAGGAAGGCCTCAGGGACCATCCAGGCCACACTGTGTCACTTGACAGCTTAACCAAGGCCACGATGGGGCCTCTGCTAGGTGCCGCTGGAAATACACTGAGGCAAGGGCAACAGAGCAGAGATGTGACTCAGGCTGAGGGGTGCAGTCAGGACTGTCCATGGGGCCACTACTCCTGAGAGGTGAGTCCCTGGTCAGGAACCCCAATGCAGCCAGGCCGAGGGAGGGAGAGACCACAGTCTGCACCCCCAGGGCCTGGCTCCATGGAGTGGGCTGTTTTTGTCACTGGCACAAGTGTCGGGCAGGTGGGGCTGGAAGCTCTGGTTCTCATCAGTGTGCCGGCAGTGAAAACCCATGCCATCTTCAGCAGGTCGTTCCCGGTCTGTCTTATGCCTCATCTGAGTTTCCCATCTGTGAACTAGGTACAGTTATCCCAACACTTCATGAAGGGAAGAGAACAGACATGAAGTCACGAAGGTGAAGGCAGAAGTGAGACAGAATTACTGGGTCACCCTGTACCCTTCCCATCCCAGTGCAGGTGGCCCTGCTTTCTCTGCCCGGCGCATTCCTGATGTTTGCCTTGGGCACCTGTTGTACTCTTACCTTCGGTGGAGTTCTAAAGTGCCCCCCCGCCCCCGCTTCCCTCGGCGCAGAGCCTGGTGCTCCACCGCAAGGCACCCAGTGAAGATGACTTCCTTCCCTCTGAATCTCACAGGCCTCTCCCCTCAAGAGTCTGTGCCCACTGTCCTAACTCAGACCTTCCCACCACTCGTTAAAAGCACATTCTCTGGGTTACAGGCTCAGGAGGAAGTCCTTCTTCTTAATCCTTCCTTTGGATTCCGGGGGCAGCGGCTGCTTCTCTCTCCCCAGGAGGCCACATCAGCAGCCATGATGAGTGGATGTTCAGCTCCCATCTGCACACCTGGGTCAAGGCGGCCTTCCTGCACAGGGCAGGTGGGGGCACAGGATGGCGGCCTTGCAGGGGCAGGTAGGGACAGGCAGCAGCTGCTGCCTAGGGGCCCGAGGTTCAGGTCTGTGGATGGACCCTCTGGTTCCTTCTGTCTTGTAAGAAGGGATCTGAGGCCTCAAAAAAGAAAAGGACTTGCCCAAGGTCACATCGTAAGGCTAATGCTGCACGTAATAGTACAGCCTGGGGGTTGAGGATGTGGGCTCCGGGGTCAAACAGCATAGGTTTGAATTTTGACTCTGCCACTTAAGACCAAAAAAATCTCCACAAAATGCTGCCAGTTATCTTTGTAAGCTACACCCCCAACTCAGAAATGCAAATGTAAGTGCTGCTTAGACTCATTTAAGGCAAACCCTTAATCACTAGCTATCATTAAGCATGAGCTTGGTGCCAAGTATTTTAAAGATCAACTCCATACTCGGTACCCATTCTGGAAACCCATCTCACCACCCCAGCTAATGAGAGGAAATCCACTGGGGGGGTCAGTGACTGGGTAGTGGCAGTGGTGGGATTCACCCTGGCTGGGTCCAGCCCTTGTGCTGGGGTCGGGCAGCTTCTGGGGGCTTGTCCTCACACTAAGCTGTTCTCAATGGGCGGCTTCGATGGCCGGCAGCGCCTGCACAGCGTGAAGTGCTATGACCCCTTCACCACCACCCAGGCGGCCGCAGCTCCACTCCCAGAGGCCGTGAGCTGGGCAGTGGTGGCCTCCGCCGCCCGGCTCTCCGTGATCGGGGGTGCTGGCCGGGACTGTGTCAGCAGAGACAAGGTGGGCGTGGAGAAGGCACTGGAGGCCTGGAGGCCTGCCGTGTGTTGGAGCTCTCCTGTCCTCGTCCATTTTCCCAATCTCATCCACAGCCCTAAGGAGTAAGCCCCACGTTAGGCGCAAGGAAGAGTTCAGACGTAACCCCAGGGTCACACGGTGGTTCAGCAGCAGAGCCAGGCCAGATGTTTGGGCTGGTGCCGTACAGTGTCATAGATTAAAAATTATGTGAGGGCAAAAGTGGGATTAGTTAAATGTTTTTTTGGCTATTCAAAAAAAATACACTCGTTATTGAAAATTTAGAAAGCACAGAGAAACAGAAAAATCACCCATAATTTTTACACCTAAGGAACTGCTATTAATATTTTTGTACATTGCCTCCAGGCTTCCTCTGAATTGACTTTTGCTTTTCTGTCTTAGTTTTGCATTCCTACTGTTAGTAAAAGTTTGCATTCTGTTTTAAAAATGTTTTTTAATTTTTACGTACTGATTTGAGAGAGAAAGAGGAGGGGAGAGAGCAAAAAATCAGTTTTTGTCTGGGGATCGAACCTGCAACCTCGGCGTGTTGGAACCGCACGAACGACCCGAGCCGCCTGGACAAGGCTGCATTCTGCTTTGTATCTTTTATCAGTAGAAACACTTTGCCCTTGCTTAGCAACTCTTCACGGCCATCATTCCAGCAGCGGTGTAATGGCCACTGGGTGGATGAACTACAGTCTACCAACCCAATTTTCTGTTGAATATTTAGGCGTTTTGTGAATAAAAATTAATCTTCATAATGGCAGCTCTCTCCCTCCCCTGACAGCCGCTTGGGCTGGTGGTCCTGGGACCCAAATCTTTCCAAACCAGGGTCACTCACCCTCCCTCCCCCCGACCCCTTCTCCCCTGGCCGAGCTGCCCCGTTAGCACCCACGCAGCGCTGACTGGTTTTAGGCCCCTCTGGGGGTCTCTAGATACACAGCTGAAGCAGAGTAAAGGTGAGCAGGCAGGCCCAGGTGTGGGGCCTCAGGAACTGTGAGAGGTGTCTTATTAAACACCTGCAGGACCGGGAGGTGTGTAGACGGCTATAGCAATGTGAGTGCAAGACACCACAGCTGGATTTTCATCAGGACCGGGAAGAGGGACGAGGGTGGACTGACTGTGTACAGGCAGGAACTCATCTCCACACGGGGCCTGCTCCAAGGCCCCTCTGCAGCACTGATGGGACACCTCCCTCTCCTGAAATGAAGACCTCTCTTTGTACCTTGAAAGATGAGGATGCTCTCAACACAGGCAGTCCAGGGGTAGGAGACAGAAGGTGGAACTAGATGTGAGGGCAAGGACCGTGGGTTTTCTCTACCCTCCCGAGCACTGTCTCAGGCCTGGCAGACAGAGGCAAATTCTGTGCTGAAGCAGCCGTGCTGACTGAGGGAGGTGGGCGTGCATGGGCAGCAGGGCAGGTGGGGGATGAGCTTCACCACCGCCAAACCCCCGGCCCTTCAGTTGCAGTGCTTTGACCCCCAGGAGGACCGGTGGAGCCTGCGGTCACCAGCGTCCTCACAGCGGTGTCTGGAGGCCATCCCCCTTGAGGACACCATCTACGTGGTGGGGGGCCTTCTGGGCACCATGTTTGCCTATGGCCCTGGTACAGACATCTGGGGGGAGGCAGGGTCTTCATCTTTGACCCCAGCAGTGGGCAGGTGGAAGCCCAGCCTGCTGCGCTGCACCAGCTCGCACCGCTGCGTCACTATCATCTGGAACCTGAGCGGGTGACTCGGACTGGGACCGCCTGAGCCGGGGGCGGGGGGTGGGGTGGAGAGAGGAGGAAGAACTCAGCCTCACGGCTCTGCTTTCCTCACAGTACCTCCATGTAGACAGCCGCGGGCCCGGTCACTCCCTTTCTTGTAGAGATGAAGCCTCGCTCCAAGGCTGGCTCTGTGCTCCAGCTCAAGCCTGCTCTGCTTGGAGAAGTGCCTGCTCCTGGCTCTGACTCTTTACAAAGCACCTTCCTGTGGTACCTCATTTACCTTCACAATAGCAGTGTGGACATCATTTTTAAAATTATGAAGTATTTCATGCATGACATATGTTTATATATTTGTACAGTTTGAGCATAATAAAACATGTGTGTCCTGACCACCCGGCCTAAGAAGCAGAACGTGACGAATGCCGCTGTAAGCTCCCCTGTCTATGCCCAGACCCATCCACTTCCCACAGTCCTCCTGGTGGCCATCACTGTCCTTCAGTTTGACATTATCGACACTTGTAACTTTCAGCAAGCTAATTATTAATATCTGCTACTTTACAAAGAAGGAACTGCTTTGAAAAGACAAGGGGCATCGGCAAGGCCACACTGAGAGCCCACGACGGGAGCTTCAGGATCAGTGAGGCACTTCGGTCAGGGCGGCTCTTTCTTTCCTTTTTTTTTTTTTCCTCCTGCTTTTGCTATTTTTTAAGCATTTTTAAATTTAATTATTGTTCAAGTACAGTTTTCTGTCTTTTACTCCCATCCCAGCCCACCCCCCGCATCCCCCACCTCCCTCCCATTTCCCTCCCCCTTAGTTTTTGTCCATGTGTCCTTTATAATTGTTCCTGTGAATCCTTCCTTTTCCCCTGAAATTCTCTCCCCTCTGGTCCCTGTCTTTCTAAACAGCCCCTGAGAGTCAAACACGGAGCGGGGACAGACAGAGGCATAGGCTTGCAAGTAAGCAAACGTGTAGAAGGACCAGCAACGACGGCACAGCGGCACTGTGAAACCCCAGGGAAGGCAGAAGCTTGAGCTCTGGGGCTCAGTCTCTGTGGTGAGACCTTAAAAACAGGATTTGGATCCAGGCTCAGTGCTAGAAGCCAGGGCCCACCCAGGTGGGGCCCCCCAGCTCATGAAAGGAGCTGAAACAAAAAAAGAAAACCGAACAGCCTTGGGGTTTGAGGCAGCAGCTGGGTGGTGGGTGCCAGAGCCACAGGCCTCTGAGAACCCAGCCAGCCTGGCTCTAGACCTGCAAGATCCATAGCAATGGGGGGGGCACAAGATGTGATGTAAGCACCTGGGTGGGCCTGGGGCTCTGGAAACAGCACATAAGACTGCAAGATGGGGGGGCGGGGCTCAGGGGAGAGCGGGAATGGAAGAGGCCACAGAGATTCTGTGGGGCAGAGGCTCAGTGGTGCAGGTTCTGTGCCCGATTTCTGAGGCCCAGAGGAGAGGCCAGGCGTCTGGGGCTCCCCTCATTTGCATTCAGATTGCCTTCTGAGGACCTGTCATCTGCCCTTCGGGAGAGGGCCAGCCCCACATCCCTCCCATCTCCCAAAGCCCCAGGGCCCTGTCTGGAAGATTTTTCCAGCTGGGGCTGTCCCTTCACAGTTGGGCACAAAGGCCCAGGTCCCAGCTGAACTCCTGCCCTCTGATTATCCCAGATAAGGCAGCCTGTGACCATCTGGACACAGCTGATAATGGTAGAGTGGGGAGGGGCATAGTTGGAGGCCCAGCTCCTCAGAGCCTGCCTGCCCCGACCCGAGGCGTAACACCCGGGACAAAGCAGAGAAACCACTGTATTATTTACCTATTCCCTCGAAAGCCCGAGTGGAAAATAGAGGGGCAAACGCAGGGCAAGCTCTCCCTCACCTGGGCAGGCGCTTCCTATGTGCTAAGCAGACTGCACCACCTGCCCTACTATGACCGTTTGTGCCCCCGGAGCTCTTCCATGCAAGTGCTGAGGCCCCTTCCTGCTGCCTGGGCAGACCTGATACCCTCCACCCCGAGTTTACCACTCTCTTGTGTCACTTCTGTATCTGCCCCTTTTCTGTCTCCTGACCTGTGGCCAGGCCTTTCTGTCCTCCAGTCTCCGGACCCACCCAAAGGATGCCCTCAGAGGGCAGGAGAGGTGTCAGCTTCGCCTGCGTCCCTCAGTGCCTAGGACAAGGCTCCCACTGAACACGCTACATTAGCTTCCTGGTCTGCCACCTCCTAACACCTGTGAGTTGGTACTGTTGCCTCCCCCCTCCACCCCTGACACACGAGAAAACAAGACTCAGAGTTGTCTTGTTTCACTCACAAGTGACTTGCTCACTAAGGTGGCCGAGCTGGTAGGTGGTGGCAGAGCCAAGACTCCAGCCCGGGTCCAGCTATCGCCACAGCCTGCTGTCCCCATGCAGCCTCACCCTGGCTCTGTTCATCTGGGAAAATGCGTGTTGAAAGAAGCCCAGGCGCGGTTTAGAAGGAGGGGGCGCATCATTTCCACCACTGAAAATCCCTTGGGGACCTCCTTGAATGAGAGGAGACCGGGTTCATGGCCCTGGTGACACCCATGTCCTAGTTTCCTGTGACTACTGGGCACACCTGACATGTTGGTCTCTCAGTCTAACAGTCCATTTGTAAAGGGTCTCCCTGGCTCCTCGTCCACGGCTTCCCCACCCCCGGCCCCTCCGCAGCCCCTGAGCTGTGCAGTCGCCAGAACAAAGACTTAACTCTTGGTATCCCATCAGAAGTCGCAGGAGCCAGATTTAGTTTTTGAGTTTCTTTTATGAGCAGTTCTAATTATCTGGAAGGATGATAATTTGGCTTTTTTTTTTAAGTGGGCTTCCAAGGAACAATGAGGAAATTTAATTGTTTAAAAAAGTAGCGAGAGGCAACAGATGGATGTATGTCTCACATCTGTGTTTCTCTCCCTCTTTCTCCTTCCCTTCTCCTCTAAAAATGGAATAAAATTCATTCTCTCTTGCAATCACTATGTGGAGTCATTGGATTCTTTCATAAATCTAAAATACATTGAGATCTTGATGGATTTATTACTCTATATCTTGAAAAACTTTGCTATGTCATCATAAAAATTATTTTATATTACCCACCAATTATTTCCAATTATGTCACACAAGACTAAGATGATAAGAAAATGGGAGAACGATACTGTTGAAGATGCATGAGATGAATCACTATTACATCATCGTTTAGTTCCCATCCTGCGTTGCCCAAAGTATTGATAATCGTCTTATAAGAAGATATAAAAAAACATCTAGTTAGTTAAGAGTTCAGGATTTTACACTTTCCACCCGTAATGACAAAAGAGAAGAACACTGATAGAGGACATTTGAGGCGCGTCACAGAAACCAGAAAAAGACACACACTGCACTCCGGTCTCTAAGGGTGACGGGCAGTTCATTGGTCACATAAGCAATCTTTCCTACACGAGTTTCCTCACACTGCAGAATTGATGAACACTGTATTTCTAAAAACACAAAGGGAATGTGGCATTTTAAGTCGTCATGTCATTATTGAGTAGTCATTCAACAGGATTTCATTACACAAAATTTTTATGACAAAAACCTGGAGTATCCCGTTTTGCCAAAAGGTGCTATAACAATATTCTTTCATCTTTTATGATGCTTATGTACCCAAATTCACTGTTTGTCACAGTTCGTAAGTGGAGACATTCCAAAAACAGCCGTGTAGGTGATTGAAGGTAAATAGGTGCTGTAAAATTTTTTTCTTCAAATTCATGGACTTGGTCATTCATTCTCATTGATCCTTACAAATCTAAAAATGTTTTAAAATTATGGAGCAAAAAACACGACTGTCCTTTCTTCCACAGAATTATGAGCCATCAAAAATACTGCATATTGACAATGCAAATGCAAAACCAAACCAAACCAAACCAAACCGGAAAACCCCCGAAAGCAATGACAGGCTGGAACCTATTAGAGATATATCTGAAATCTGGGGTCAGTTACACAACTAAGTTCTGGTCTCACACACAGCATGTGCTGATGAGCACATCATTGCATTCAAAGGACATTGTTGATTTGGGGCATATATACCTTCAAAACATGGAAAATATGAAATTGCTGGTTTAATTCATACACATGTATGCACACACACGTGACCTTATTGAGATGTAATCCACACCCCATAAAATTCACCCATTTGACAAGTGCAATTCATCGTTTTTCGGTACAGTCAGAGCTGAGCTAATACTTGTGCTGGTCACGGGGCAGGCGATGGCCGCCACGAGGCAGGATGAACCCACCCCAGCAGTGCTCCCCACGCAGAGGGCACAGGCCCACCTGCACCTGGCCGGCTGCAATGGTACCACGCAGGACTGAGCGGCAGGGCCCAGTGGTCCTGTCTCAACTGCAGAGCTGCTGGGGCTGCATCTCATCCCTGAATGTGAGGGTGTGGGATCAGGTGAGGTGTTCGCCACCTAGGGCTTTATGTCACTCATTCTCAAACCCAAAGTGGGGATTCTGAGATATTCTAAATATTTCCAAAGCCTAACAGAAATCACACATTCCCCTAAGATATGCTGCATAAATTTTAAAATCACTGTAAAATGAAGTTAGTAATGGAATCTGCCCATTACAGGGATGCTGGGAAGATTAAATGACACTTTCACAGTAGGCTCCAGGCACATAATTACCTCCTCACCACGGTCATGCTGTTATGAAGCTAAAAATGTAGCTTTAATAACAAATACGGAAATTGTTTGTTTTATAAATAACATCAAGCATCTGATGTCCCTGAGGAAGAGTTAAGAAAAACCATCTTTGAGGTAGAAAATGCCGACTCCCAGTAATACCTAAATGTTGAGTCACTGATACGCAGCAACACGGGAGCTCAGCAACAAGATGAAACATGGCCCAGTGAAAGGCCAAGTTCATACCTGCCCAGCTGTGCTCACTTCCAGTACAGCAGAAAGCACAGCCCCTGTGGTCAGGGCTCTTAGAATTAGGATGGGGAGAATCCATTACCGTGAAGTTAGCTATTAATTTCCAAGGGGATAAGCATAACTTAGTAGTAATAGTAACAACAGCTTAGCACACACCAAGCACTTGGTATGAGGTCAGGCCCTGTGTGAAGGATCCGTACGTGCAGACAAGCAAATGGAGGCAGATGTGTGCTCGTACTGCTGAGTTGTGGACCTGGTTTTGCATCCAGAGTCTGGCCTGATGGTCTGGGCTCTTAACTGTTAATGTCTCCGAACAGGGATGATATTAGGTGGTAAGTACTAACAAAGACACATGTATCGGCTCTCCTTTACCTCCCGCAACGGCTCAGTGAGACAACCAAGGATCAGAAAGGTCCAGTCCCAGAGAATTAGTGCTGGTGTCAGAATTTGAACCCAGGTTTCTAACTGCAAAACCCAGCTTCTTGAGTGCCCTTTGTAAAACACTCTGCCAAGAAGGGCATCCTTCAGTCCTCCGCGTCCTGGCTGGCTCCCTCCCTTTACCTAACTTCCCAGCCAGGCGTGGACACTGGCAAGCTGGGGCACATGGCTGAAGTTTCCTGGACCCCCCCCTTGGGAGTGAGTGTGAAACAACAGCTGCCAGACCTGCAGACCACCATCTGCTGGGGGCTCCAGCGGCCTCTGCAGCAGTGTTTGCAAGCCCTGTTTCTGTCTGGAGGTGGGACACCCACCCCACCCCACCCCCAAACCCCCTTCACCAGTTTTCTGACCTCACCAGTTTATCTTTTCCCCAGTTCTGCAGGGCTGTCAAATGGTCCCCAACCCTTGCTGGCCCTCTGGGCCTATTCCACGTTCTCAGACTGCAGCAGGTATTCATTCCCTCCTTGCCTGAGGGCTGTCGGCCGCCAGCCCCTCTGAGACCCCCACCATCAGCTGCCACACATCGTAATGACCACAAGCTAACTCTTCAGTGCCTTCTGGTAGAAAGTCCATTAAAGGCCCTGGCACTGGCTTCCATGCTGCCAACAGCTACATTTCTACCAGTGGTCCCAGAGGCCGGTTCACAACAGTTCTGGCTGCCCAGCAGAACACCTTGCCTATTCAGGGGAGGAGGCAAAGCATGAATCTGGGCCTCATCTCCATGATGAAAGCCGAAGGAGCCAGCTATCTTTGTCACCTCAGACCACTGGGTCAGATGCTCCTACCCGAAACTTTGAACCTTAAAGGAAGACGTGTAAAGAGAATGAGACAAAGCACCATTCACTGGGACAAACTGAGGGATGGTGGTGATATCCCCTGTGGTTATTAAGTGCTCACTTAGGTTCTACATTTACCTTGTATGGATTTCTAAAATAAAAAGATTTTTTAAAACCCTCCCTTTCCTGATCTCAAGTAATGGCTATATAGGTGTTGTGCTTACAATTCCAGCTGCACATTTAAATAGTTATGGTTTGGACATTTTTATGAGTATCAGCACAAACAGTCCTCGGTGGACAATGTTCAACTTGTGATTTTTCAAGTTTATGCTGGTGCAGATGACACCCATTCGGTAGAAATGACGTTGGATCTCAGCTTCTCCAAGGCTAGGGACATGTGGCGCCGCGCCTGATGCCAGGCAAGAGCAGCGAGCCAGGGCTCCCGTCACGAGGGCGAACAACTGACCCTCTATGGTGCCCTGTGTGGCCAGCGTTTTTTTGGATAGTTGTTTTCACATCCCATCATATCTACAAAATGCCCACCTGCCAAATATAAGCATTCTGAGCACATTTAAGGTTAGATAGGCTGATTTCATTGGGTTAGCTACATTAAAGGCATTTTTGACTTCTGGTATTTTTAACTTACTGGTTTATCTGGATGTAACTCCATCTAAGTCAAGGAGCATCTGTACTTAAGCAACTTTTTCCCTTTCCCAAGCTGCTACTTTGGTGGTTACAGCACTACCTGGTGGGAATTTAACAGCACACTGAACCCTGCGGACTAATTTCCAGTTTCAGTGGGCTGACGTTTGCACGAAACTCATTAGGGAAATTTGAAAGATCGCCTACTGCAATACGCAAACACCTGACTGGCTGCGTCAGTACTAGAAGCTAAGATCCTACATGACCAGGGCTGCCCTAACCTTAGTTGAACTAATTTCTGTAAAAGTGATCCCCTTACAACCAACTACACAAAATCCACAAATACAGGAACAAAGCAGCTTAGCACAGTTCAGACAATAACATTTCCTGTAAAACTGCAAAATGCTAATGGCTTTAGCCACAAGGGATCAGTCAGTCTTATAAAGGGGATTACCTCTGAGATGCGTCTCAGGCCCATCAATACTGACGAAGTCAGTAAGATGTTAGTCTAGACTAAGTCAATATGAACATCAGAGGTTTTCAAAGTGGGGGGATGCTCAGTGGATCGCGTGCCAGCCTGAGTCAAAAAGGTCACTGGTTTTATTCCCGGTCTGGGCACACGCCTGGGCTGTGGGCCAGGTCCCCAGTTGGGGGTGTGCAAGAGGCAACCAATCAATGTATCTCTCACACATTAATGTTTCTCTCCCTCTCTAGAAAACACCTCAAAATGAGCTGAAACAGTAGACAATTAAAAAATATCCTTTACTTGTGCTTTAAGCTCTTCACCACTGGCACAAACACCCTTTACACTTTTAGAGACACTGAAGATTAAACAAGTATGTGAAGCACGACACCCAGAGCATGTGGGACCCAAAATACTGGGTTGGCCAAAAGTCCGTCACATTTTTCCTTAAGAGGCTCTGGTAGCACTTAGTTGTCTTTAACTACATTCCAAACAATTTTGTTAGATTGTATTCTGACAGCTGTCATATCAGTGAGCATTTAAAACCTTCTCAAAATTGGTGGTTTTGTGCAGCCATTTTACCAACGAAGATGGAAGATATACAATATTTTTGGTATATTATGCTTTATTATTTCAATAAAGGTAAAGACAACCGAAACACAAAGATTTGTGCAGTGTTAGCAGAAAGTGCTGTGACTGATTGAATGTGTCAAAAGTGGTTTGCCAAGTTTCTTGGTACTATTGACATTTTGGCCAAGTAATTCTTTGCTGTGGGCTCTCTCACATACTGGAAGATGGTCAGCAGCACCCCTGGGCTCTACCCACTAGAAGCCAAGATAGAGGGAGAGAGCTGACATACTCAAAAGATCCAGATCAATAAAGTTATTGGTGAAGATGAAAAATATGCCTTCTATTTTACGGAAAAAGCGTATTTTCGCTCAACTCAAAGGCTGGCCAAAAGCATAATGGCCAGTGGATTTATTTTCTATGTGCAATGTAAATTTCCTTAAACACGAAGAAAATAAAATTGTCTTAAGTAAACACATCCCTCTTCTACACCTGAACTACGGCGGAGTTAGTCAAGGTGCTGTGAGACCTCACCATCACCACTTAGCCCCGACAGGGCAACTCCGTGGTCAGCTCTGCGTGGGTCCTCCTGTTCTGGCCCTTGCCTCACAGTACGGCTGAAACCGAGAGGATTCCAGGGGAAGCACAGACACACCGAGCTAGCCAGCCCTGAACCTCAACCGGTAACGCTCCGATGGGGTGACATGACCCTCCTTCTAAATACCGGATATATCACCAGGCCATGCATCTTTTAAAAAGCTTTTATTAGAGGTCTTTATAGAGCAACATCCAGGCTCCAGAGTCAGCCGCCAACGAGACTCTAAAACCAAACAAAGCACAACGGTAAGAACAGAAATTTCATCTGAGTATGAGGTTCTTTCATTTACCAGATGAATGAATATACACTCCCCCTTAGGGTTTGCATGAAAACAACCACAAAGAACACTCAGGAAAAAAAAACAAAACAACACAGGCATTCTGATTTAAAGGGGTTGCTGAAAGATGATAGCTAATTACTAGCAAGAGTGCCTTGAAATTTTTGAGTAAATAAGACAATAAAGAAAATTTTCTATTTCAAACATTGTAGTAAAACATAGGAATTTAAAAGACAAGGCCAAACACCCAACCTCCCAACAGACTCCTGAGTTAAAAGGCCCTTGGCTCCAACCCAAATTTTTCCATGTAAACTAAGTATAATCCAATTATATCTGCCAAATGCCTACCAGTGTGCGAGGTAAGTAATAACAGGGAGACAGAAACAGGGCCCTACTCCACCCAAGAGGCCGCTCGAGACATACCTGTTACGCCGTGGGCACTGGCTGGGGCATGGCAGGCGGCTCTGGCTTCCCACCCTTCTGTTCCGAGATGGGGGTGGTGGGCAGTATCTCATCTTTGGGCTCCACAATGCTCACGTGGTCAGGCAGGGGCTTCTTGGGGCCTATCTTCCCGCTTGGGTCCCAAGGAAGCATGATCTTCACTTTGATGCCCAGCACACCTACAGTGCAGTTAGAAGCATGGTTAGAACCTACCTGTGGTCTCACTGGCCCCTACAACACAACAGGACAGGGCGCAGGAAGAGAATAGCAAGTCACCCAAGTACCCCTGGATCTGGTCCCTTCTCAGACAAATGCCTCTAATCAATCAATGAACAGGACACTTCTGCAAAAGGAACGCACGCAGTGCCACAGAACATGGCACTGACAAGGACCCAGAGCAGGATGTGACCTTTCTGACTCGTCATCGTGTCATCACCGAAGGGTATCCAGGTGGCTGAGACAAGGACAAATCAACTCTCGGATCTAACTGCCATCAACATTTCCTTCTTCCACTTCAGTGCATCAATAAACCCGACAAGCACTAACATGCTCTGCCACCCCAAGATGAATCTCCCCCACACAGAGGTGTGCATGGAAATCTATGCACCAAGGCGCTTTGCCCTAGGAGCTCCCCTCTGCTCACCCTGCCTAAGCAGCACGTGGCGCACGGCAGTGTCAACATAGTAGTTAACAGGGTCCCCACTGTGGATCATCAGGCCATCGACAAACTTCATGGACTTAGCCCTCTGTCCTCGGAGTTTCCCAGACACCACGACCTCGCAGCCTTTGGCCCCGCTCTCCATGATGAACCGCAGCACACCATAGCAGGCCCTTTGGGAGAACAAAAGATATTTGTGTTATCACCAAACACAGGATCACCCAACCCAACCCCATTTTAAAGTAAGTAAAACAGTCCCCGCCAATGTAGCTCAGTTGGTTGGGCAACATCCCGCAAGCCAAAAGGTTGGCAGTTGGATCCCTGATCAGGGCACATGCCTGGGTTGCGGGGCTCAGTCCCCGTTTGGGGCACACACGGAAGGCAACCAACTGGTATTTCTCTCCCTCTCTTTAGTCTGCACTGTTTTCAACACAGGGGTGTCCAACCTGTGGCCCAGGATGGCTATGAATGCGGCCCAACACATAATCCTTTTCCCCCACTCAACAGTTTTCATTAGTGTTCGTGTATTTAATGTGTGGCCCAGAGACACCAAAAGGTCGGACACCCCTGCTCCGGCCGCAAGCCTAGGCCCCACACCAAGCCAAGTAAATTGGTAACGTGGGGAGCTGGGTGTGGTGATGCTCAGAATAAGCACTTTCTAAAAATTATAACAAAACAAAAAAACACCCCCCAGGCAATTCTAATGTACAACCGAAGTTGACCCCCCGCCCAATATTCTGGAGCTGGCCTTTCCAGTCTGGTCAAGCTCTGCCAACTCTGGACTCTGAATGAGGCAAGCAATCAGTAAGAACCCAGAAGTACCCCCATCACTATGTAACCCCTTTACTGAAACATTTCACAACCCCCAGAAACCATGTTCATTAGGCACCCTAGCCACCAATTTAGGTTCCTAGCTGCCTTGACTATTAGAATGCTGGAAAAGAACATTTCTAGTTCCATAAAAATTGATAGTAAGTCTTAAAGTATCATGCCCTGACTCATCCATTAGCTTACACCTGGGAGATGCTAATTGGAACTAGCCACCACTTTCAACGGGAAGGTAGAGGAAGACCTACCACCAGGCCGCAGACCCTTTCACCTGGTCCCATCTAGTCATACAAGAACAGAGCAGTGTAACGATCGCCATTTAGAGACAGACACCCAGGAGCCAGAGAAGTCCAAGCCGCTCAGGTCTCAGAACTTCCAAATCGAACTCCAGTGTGTGCAGAACCCCCCACAGGACTGAAGACCCACCAGCCAGGCTACACTCCCCCTTTCTAAGCCAGGGGGTCTGAGGTGGAGACTGAGAATTTTCCCTAACGAGTCCTCAGATGATGGCAGTGATGCTGGCCCAGGGACCAAACTTTTGAGAATCACTATTTTAAGTGGTGGAGTTGGCATTAAGACCAGGGGGCGGTCTTCCACACGTCCTTTCCCACCCACTCCTCTGACAAACCTCCGCCACCCGCAGTCCTCTACAGCCCAGCCCACCTCACATTACTATCTAAATACAGCTCACAATGACAAACGCCCAGATTATAAGCTTCCTTCCAAACGCACAGCCTTATCTCCTTAATATTCCCCGGGACAGTTACTAGTGATGCAGCTGAATGACTTCAACAGGAGCCCTACCCTCCCTCCCGAGTTCTTTCTCAGTCTCACTCCCAAAGCACTCAGAATAGTTCTCCATAGTAACACTGACCAGTTCTTTAAAAACTTGCTTCTTTATTATTTTCTGCTAGACTGCCAACTCAACAAGGAGGTGGACACAAAGTATCTTATCGTTAAAACCCTCAGACACTAGCAGAGCCTGCCACGTGCGGAGAGTTCACTTGTTGAAACAACAGAAGGGAAGACACACCGTATTCTGATCCACCAAAAAGGGACACTCACCTCCGCACAGCAAGGCCGCCTAAGAGTTTGTAGCGCAGAGACTCTGCCTGGGCAATGGCACACAGACCTCTTGTGGCCACCTTCTCAGCATAAAGCTTCAAGAAAGAAACAGGGTACATCCATAAGCTCGTTACCTCCACCATGGGTTTCAAATAAAAACCAGCACATTCATCATGGACGCACACACTGCCCTATCTATCACTGCGGCACCCCTTAAGCTCTAAAGCACTTCCGCTCCTCCCACCCAGCACACACCCCACATTGTGGGCTGCACCCCATCCCTCACTGCCCTCCCGTCCCTCGCTCCTCCCACAGCTACACCAAAGACATCAGTGGGGCAGCCAACTCAGCCTGTGTAGCATCACCACACCCAAGGTGACCCTAAATTCCCTTAACAATCAGAACTGAGCAGAGATTACGCCTACCACTTGCCACGAGAACTTCAGCAAGACACTAATCCACTTGTCATACCAACTGGTCGTGAATATACAATAAAGTCTTTGGTGCAATGAGGGTTTTAGAAATACCACCCTAAAAGAGCTATTTGCTGTCCACAGCTATCTCCAGCGCTGGCCAGGACCACTCACCTCTACACTGCCCTCAGGGAAGCCGAACCTTTTCTGAACCACAGCAGTTAATTCCCGGATCCGTCGGCCCTTCTCACCAAGAACGTTCTGCGTCCTGGGGAGAGTAAAAGTGACAGTTCATAGCTCTCACAAAATTCCAGATGTAACTTCAAGTCTTGCATATATGTAGTAGTAAAACCTCATTTGTCAGACCATGAGAACTAGTTAGATTTAAAAATGCAGTTTAAAAAACCAATGGCATTCCCTAAGGCCGAATCCACTAGTTGTCTGCTTATGCTTACAGACTAAACCACCTTAACATAGGTAACAATTACAGGTGACAGCAAGGCAAATGAGTTCTTACCTGGTGGCCAAAATAATAATTTCTGTCCTGGTTGGTGTAACTCGGACTTCAACCCCAGAGTAGCCATCCTCAGCCAGTTCCCGAGTGAGAAACTCGTTCAGTTCGGCTTTGAAGATGCCGTCAGCCACAAACTAACCAAAAAATAAAATCCAAAGTTAGGACACAGATGCAGGTTCACCTCCCCCTGCCTGTCTTTCAGCCAATGCATTCCTCATCAAAACTCAACACCTCCAGCAAAGGACCCGTCCTGGATCCTATCACCCTTGTTCCAACAGGAAGTAGCAAACCCTTCTCAGACAAATGCCTCTAGGTCATCGTCTGGTGGTCGTTTTCACCCAGGGCCCTGAAAACGGTGCTGCAGAACGCAGCACCGAGCAGAAGCCGCCTGGACAATCACACCTCCAGTCAGACTCGTCATCATCTCTTCATTGAAGGGTCTTTAAAGCTGCCATTTATATGAACACACGCTACACAAAAACTGTTCAAGTCACCATTGTAAGCAGCATTGTAAGCAGTCTCACCGTGGAGACTCGGCGGGAAGAGTCCCAGCCTCATTACCTCGCCTTACTTGATGTACGACAGCTGGAAAATCACAAAAGCGTGCGAATTTTACTTTAACACGGACGTGAGCATACAAAATTGGCCAACGGCCTATTCCTAAGCAAACAGACTTGACGGTTCTTTCCCGTGGAAAAGTGAAAAGTTAAACTCAAGGAAGCGTTCCTCCCAGGCTCCCTCCCTCCGATACCCCGCGGCTTTTTCTTGGACCCTCGATGGAGCAAAAAAAAAAATGTCAGCAGCCTGTCCAGTTAAGGCCTTTGGGGTCAGAAGGCTGCACCCGGGCACGACTAGTAAGGTAGCAAGAATACACCGCTACTGCCCCTCCCGAAGCCACAGTACTTCGATCTGGCTCAGCTCACGCTCTCAAAATACCAACGCGTTTACTGATTTCATTTGTTGACCAATAAGTGCTTACAAGCACCTTCTCCGGGACAGGAGAGGCGCCCGGGGCTCATTCCTGCGCTCCGCCCGGAACGGGCAGAAATCGTCTTCCTTTCCACTCCACACCGCGCTTGCCGGCCTCGGACCCTGTACTCAATCCGCCACCATCCGCGCGGCCCAGACCATTTCCAGGGGCAGTGCACAGAGCTGCGGGACCCGCGACAGCCCCTGGAGAAGGCCCAGACCCGCACGGCGCCGCAGCCTCCCTCGATCCGAATCCCAACATCTCACCTTCCTCTTCTTGGAAATTTGCACAGCCATCTTTGCGCTCCGCGCTGCCAAAAGGAAAGGAAGTGGCTTGTGGGCGGAAGTAGGTATAAAGACGTGGAGAGATCACGAAAAACTGCGCGGCTTCACGCCTGTGGGCCCTCCTGGGAAATGTAGTTTTTATGTTGAGGAAGGCGTTCCGGGAAGGGGAAGAGTAAGGGAGACACCTACTGGAGGAAACAAGGAAGGGAACAGGTCCATCAGAAATTGGGAATTGCAGGGCAGCTTAGAATCCGGGTCTCAGTACTGCAGTTTAAAAATGAACAACGTGAGGCGCAGAGATGAAAATTACAAGTATAAACTCAGAGCAACATCGTTTAACAAGCGCGGAACCCTGGTCCCTACACTCTGCACTGTAATGAAAACTGAATGAAAGTCCTCGGTGAAATCCATTTAGTTGCCCAGCTCTTTTATCTGTTTTCATATCCTCCGTTCCAACTGATATCTAACATTTGTTAAGAATTCTAGGGACTGTTCCATGTCCTTTTTATTATAAACTAATTCACCCCCACCTCGCTTTCATAAAGTCTGTTACAACTTGTAACAGTCAGTAACAAAGTACTGGCTCATGGGCTCACGATTCTTTTTCAATGAAAAAAATTTCCTCCCACATTTTACTATGAAAATTTTCAAGCATACAGAAAAGTGGAAAGAATTGTGCAGTACACGCCCGTCTATGCTTCACCCAGGTGCTACAATGAACATTTTTGCTGTATTTTCTTTGTCGCATATCCATCCATCCCTCTATTCACCCGCCAGTGCATCTCTTGGTGTATTTCAAAGTAAGTTGCAGACATCAGTACGCTTCACTCCTCAACACGTCAATGGTTTTATGTTAAATTTGGATAATTTGCCTCCATTTAAATCAGGAGATGTCTCTATAAAACTATTTTAGGTTATTTGTTAAAAATATAAATATCTAAAAAAATAAAGAAAAGAGAAATAAATAGAATGATCTAGCAAAATACCAGGCTCACATTTCTTCGTGACTGCATTCTCTTCCTTGTCAGATGGCAGAGGACTCTCCCAAGTGCCACAGTCCCTGGCAGTTTCACTCATTTCCTGTCTCGCCCTGCAAGACATTTGTGCTTTTTCTCAGCACTAAATTAACAATCTGGATGCAAAGATCTGTGCTGTAACCATTAACAGAATTAACAGAGCACTGTGGACAGCTGGGCAGAGGGGCAGAGGGACCGAGGAAGAGGAAAGGAAGTGGGTGAACCACAGACACAGACAGGCTGTGGACCTGATGAATCCAGATGGACGGAGCTTGACGAGGGGAACCGAGAATGACACCAGGTTTTTCTGACTCCAGTGGTGGGTCCTTAGTGACAACCGTCACTGAGATGAGGAACCCAGGGACAGTTTTTTTCTTCATGTGTTATTTCCCTCTGCTCTTCACTCCCCTCTTCATTGAGCTCCATGGCCTGTTAATTCATTGGTGCCAGGCTGCCAAAATCCCTCCCCTGCTGAATCTGCCCACCTGACTTTGCTATACCCCCACTTGGGGTGTAGGTACTGTGGGAGGGCACCTGGCTTTGCATGCTGCAGTCAGAATACTTCCTCACTCAGTTATTCTCCCGATTCTCCCACGGTGCCCATTTTCATCTTTGTCAAGTCAGAACCCCCCTCATTCTCAGCAGTCAACCTCCCTCCTAACTTATTGTCCCCCAAATAGATTGTACAGGTGAGAACTGCTTCTGACCTATCCCGTGACTGTCTGTTTTCTTGTCCATCCTTTTCTTTTCCCCTCCCTGCTCATGAAAGAGACCCTCTTCTTGCCCACGGTCAGCGTTCCCTGTGTATTCTAGTTCTAGTTTAGTTCTGTTCCTTTGAGAACTTGCTCTGGCAACCACGCGCTCCCTTTCCCGTGATGCTGTCCGTTACTGCCTCGTTTCTTCCCTATCACTCAAGTTAAATATGTCCTTTCCTCCAAGGTCGTGACTCTCTTAGTTGCTCCCAGTTGTAGAATAAATTCTAAAAGAATTTTTTTTACTGCTTTTGTACTACTGCTATTGGACTCACACTCTGACACCCCTCCTTAAAACATCCGGGGTATGGAAGGGTCAGGTGGGGTGTGAACTGGGCTTCTTTTGGGGGCAGCTTGATGGTAACACCACAATTTAAAATACAGATTCCCCTTGGCCCAGCAAATACATCCCTTCTTACCTACTCCGGAAAAACACCTGCACAAATGTGCACGGAGGTGGCTGCAGGGGTGCTCATTACAGCATCTTGGGGAGCGTGGAAACACAAAGAGCCAGCCCAAGGCCCCTCAGCAGAGAAGTGGCTATGGAATATTATGTAGTGATTAAAAAGAACGACGTGGACAGGCAAAGAGCACCAAGAAACATTGCTACATGACAAAGTCTAGTTGCAGAACAATATGGGCTGTGTGATATATTTTTTTAATATTTTATTTATTTTTAGACAGAGGATAAGAGAGGGAGAGAAACATCAATGCGTGGTTGCCTCCCACGCGCTCCCCACTGGAAACCCGGCCTGCAACCCAGGCATGTGGCCTGACTGGGGATCAAACCCACAACCCTTTGGTTCACAGGCTGGCACTCAATTCACTGAGCCACACCAGCCAGGGCTGGGCTGTGTAATATTGACGTACAATAAAATAAGACATACGTGTATGTAAATGCATAAAAGGGTAAATACCCAGCTGATAGATAACTAACTTCTGGGAATGAAGCAGTATTAGGGAGGCTAAGGGGCAAGCTACTTTATTGCTCAAACATTTTTAATAATAAAAACATATTCACACATTACTTGTGAAGTTGAAAATGAATAAAATGGAAAAAATGCAAGGACCTCATTTCTGATCGTCTGGCCACTTGTGAAACAGTGTGAAAGGCCCAGCCTCTGACACCCAATCTCTCCGCCCCGTCTTCTGACAGCGCAGCGTGAGGAGCGCGGACTCTCCATGGACCGCACAGCCCTGTCGGACACGGCGGCCGCGGGCCTCACAGGGCCGCTGGGCACCGGGCGGGGGGCTGGTCCCCGTGGAGAACCGCTCCGTGTGTGAAATACAGACCAGATTCCGAAACATAAAAAAGAGTGCCTCAATAATTTTTATATTGATTGCATGTTAAAACAATAACATTTTAGATACATTGAATTAAATAAAATATGCTATTAAGTTCACCTGTTTCTTTCTTTTTTTTTTTTATGTGGCTACCAGAAAATTTAGAATTCCTTATGTGGCTTATATTTCTGTTGGGCAGTGCTGTTGGAATCTTTCTTTCTTTTTTGTTTAAAAAAGATGTTATTTATTTATTTTTAGAGAGAGAGGAAGGGCGAAAGAAGGAGGGGGATAAAAACATCCGAAGCCCCCCACGGGGCCCACGGTCCAGGCATGTTCCCTGATGGGGAATCGAACCAGCAACCCTTTGATGTGTGGGATGAGATACACCAGTCCAGGCAGGGCTATAAATCTTTCAACCACAGAAGTCAATGGTGCTTTACTTTTCTTTGTTTTCTTGAGATTTGGCACAGTGGTTGGCAGAGAGAGGGCCCTTAGTTACTGTTTAAAGGCTTATTGAACAAAAGAAGCTTTACAAGGAGTGTGATGAATCTGTTCCCTGTTTGCCTGGGACCCTGGGAAACTCAGGGCTCGGTTTCATGCTCATTCGAGTTCCTGGGACCCCACCCTGGCCCAGGGGTGAAGGAGGCCTGTCGAGGGGAACTCAGAATTGTTTCTGGAGCCCTGGAGCCAGGAAAGTGAGATCGCCGCAGCCTCCTGGTCCACATAAAACCCTCCCTCCTCCAGACACTGAGGCCAAAGTGGTCCAGTTGACAAGTAGAGGTGAACTCAGTGAGAGTGGCCATTTAAACTTGTAAACAGCCTGCGTGGTCACTGGGTCCCCAGTGTACTGGGGTATAGATTTAACTTCCTGCCTCTGGGGCCAGACAGAATGTTTCTCAGATCAAATGATGCTTTGGAAAAACTCTAGGTGTTTTTCATTCAGTAAAATTTTTCCAAGCATCTGTTCAGTGAGGCACAGCATTGAAGGTCACAGACACAAGCTAGTCAGCCTGAGTTCTCATCCCTGGTCCGGCTGTGTGCTAGCTACGTGACTTTGGTGGCATTATCTCTGCATAAATTTTCTCTTCTGTAAAACGAATGAAAATATCAATACCCCCCCCACACACACAGGATGGCTGTGAGGTTAAATGATTTAGTAGAGACGGAGTGCTTAACATGTAGTAAAGCATCTGGAACATAGTAAATGCTCAATTAGCATTTGTTTTATTGCTTGGATGCACTGCCTATGCCAGGTGCTGGAGACATACTTTAATTTGATTCAGCTCCTGTCCTCCAGGAGCTCAGATCTGGGGGTGAGGGGTGGGGATACAGATAAATAAATGTGATAAGTGTCGTGTCATGATAGGGACACTAGAGCACTGCAGAGGGCAGGGTATTGGAAAGGTGTCGCGGAGCTCCAACCTTTGATCTGAGCCTCACAAGACACCAGGTGTTCGCCAGGCCAACAGGCGCATCAGCAGAATGAAGGGGCCGGACACTTTAGGAGCTTAAGAAGAACCCCCTTCCCACAACCTAAAAATAAAAAGTTCAAAATATAAAATACATTCAAATGGTTAAAAAAATGAAATACATGAATAAAAACATTGAGAAGGATAAAAGAAGCAAGCAAGAACAATACTGTTCTGGTTAAGCCATGTAAATATTTTGGGGCACAGTTTCCAGACCTCTCATTAAGCAACGAGACAACCTGTAATGAATGGATGTATACCAGCGGTGTCACACAAATGGGGTCACCACAGTGCCTGGGCCCCGTGGAGGACGCTGGTGCCACAGCAGGAGGGTGCCGGAGGAGGGGACAGAGGCAGGGGCAGTGGGGAGATACAGAACCAGCTCACCCTGCCTCGCACCCAGTGCGCCACTGACAAGCTTGGTGATCTCAGGCAAGCCACTTAACACGGAAAACGTTCACGGTACGGGACAGCGTATCATCGCTGTTAGTGCACACCAACAACTGGGTGTTTAGGTTACATCCACCTTCTATGGCTTTGGCTAGGGTGAGTCGCCTCACCAAGTACTACC